CAGAAGTGAGCCACATGTACACGGTTTGAAATTCATTTGGACCGATATATTTGTCTAAATCCTTCACAATTATTGGGTGAAACATTTTCACTCGGCGGTGTCCGGGTTTAATCAGTCACACGTTGTAGGGGTGAACGGTATGGGAATTCCTATCCAAGAGTATCATTGGGATTAGCCTCTAAAGAATGATGAATACAACTGATTTATGGATAATGTACAATTCTATAATAAATGTTCGGGTTAATTATGGTCATATTCTTTTGTTTTATTTTAAAATGGATGAATAAGTGGAGTTCTAAATTTTCTCATGAAATATTTGGTTAATTATAAAAAATCAAAACATCTATTGTGCTCTGTAACCATCGATAATATCCGATATTTCCAATCCAATAACTGAGGAAGTGTATATCTCTCCAATCATGAAGACCAATAGCTATGTTGTTGTATTCAACCCAGATACGTTAATCAAACAGATCACATAGTTATATCAACTATATACCGCATACACTCACTGTCCAAGCAAATCGATAGTACATAATTTGTCCATCGGGTTGGACAGTCACAGTTTGTCTCGGGGACACTTCAAATGCATGGTCCTGTGTCTAACAAAAGTCCTAAACTCCGGATTTATCGATTCAGCTTATGTGTCCACAGATGTTTGCATGCAATGACCCAGTTCTAAATTGATACTGAAGTATGAAGTACACATTGCACAATGTTAGATTATTATTTTGACGATAATTGCCGATCAGAAGGTCCAAAAGACAAGCCACTTACAATAACTTTTGGCCTGGGTTGGATTATCACTTGTCCTCATCGGATAAAAATGCAGTCTTCTCCACCAATGAGAGACGGGTTCTTGATCCTACATTCAACGCCATTTTGAAAAACTCAGCAATGCCGAATTGTGACCATTGACCCAGTTTCACAATGTTACATGATGAAATATGGGCTGGTTTTCTCAAAATCCTAGTAACGTGGTTTATATGAGGCTCTGTTGAACTCACAACGATAATCTCCATTCTCTCAAAACGAGAGAGAGAAACAACAAATGGCCATTGGCTTGCACGAGTATTTAGAAAAAAAGATTGTGCATTTATGAAGTTAGCACGTGGATCAGACTTGATAGATTGTAAATTTAGGAATAACAGGTAATTACCCATTATGTTATCCGCTGGCCAATGGTACGTCGCAGCACCCAAATTTATTCATATCAAGCCAGCATATCTCGGTGTGGTGTATGTCACAGCAAAGCCTACAACTTGAACATGTTAGCGTTACTGCAGTGAGTCACAGAGTGTTGAGTAGTATCCACAATTCCCGGTTGTAACATAACTGAGACATCCACATGGTACAATTGAGTCTAGCTTTATAATAAGATATCTCAAAAAAGTACGCCTTGAGCTTACAAAGTCGATGAACATGAAACATCAGTACAGCTTCATTTTGAGCCTCAATGTTGGAGTGATATCCGTCTAGCTCAATCTGTCTTCTAAGCCCAGGTTTGGCAGAGTATGCTTTGAGTCCCCTGAAAGGAATTTAACAGGCTTGAGGATAAAGAATATAATAAAAGTGCGTCGTTAGATGGTTCGCGAAACAATCCAGAAACACATCAAAATTAGGAGTGAGACATTTGTTAAGGTTTTAACTTATCGATTCTCATCACTGTATTGATGAATTAACCTTTATTTTATTGGCTGGAAATGACCGAATTTGTTCCCAGAGGTACGAGTCTAATGACAAGAGTTTTGTATTTAATGTTTCGTCATCATACTTTTGCCGATTTATCCTCCTAAGCTTTGGAAATAACAATTGGTTAAAGGCCAGTTCGAATTACCTGCGAAGTTCGAGCCGAGTCTTATTTAGAACTCTCGGATGCATCGCAACTTGTATTCAATGTAGCTTCCTGTTAGCAGCAGATCGACAACTCATGTATTAAATACGAAGTGAACAGGAATGTAGTCTGTATGTACTCAGAAATGGGAAAGAATACATGAAGTAAACAGCACCGAGGAGTCACATTAGGCATTTAAATCTGTTGTCTACATTCCCATCAAAGATCTAGCGGTGCAAGAAGCAATGTAGCGCATCACATTATGGACAAGCAGAGAAACTACAATTAGAGCAACTGTACGTTGATGTCCCGTGGTCCGTATTGCTGACGTGGATATTTTATAGGTTAACCGAAGTGACAGACCCACTGCGTTTCTCTGGATAGAACCACACCTGATAGGTATTCCATGGCACTAACAGTAGCAGTGGTAATAATAATCGTAAGAATAATACGGCAAATATGTGTCAGGAGTAGGTTTATTATGAAAAGGAGTTTGCTTGGTTTCGGAAGAAAGTGCCTATATAATGGACGCTCAATATGATGGAGAAGAGCTTGTTCAGCTCTGTATGTAAACGATCCACTGCACGATAATTTTGAGGTTTCATAGCCAATGAGAATCCGTATTTGTTTCGTCAAAGCCAGGATGTGAGCTTTTGTTGCTTTCTCTCATGTTTGGTGTTAGATGTGGAAGTTCGGGTCAACCAGCGTAACTTGTTCCAAAATACCATGACATAGCCATGTTTTGCAGTAACACAACGTTTCAAACTTGGAGAGTTTTGATGTTGTGTGCAGGGGTGAGAAGGGAGATAAAGTGGATGTTTAATAATTCCAATCCATAGTTGGGGTTACATGGTGTCTGGACTATGTGCGTTGTCGATCAATATTCATATAAACGTGTTGGGGTATTGGGTAAGAAAGTTTTACATGGCTGGGTTCATGGATACGAAATTTCACACAGCTGGGCTTACATTGATGGACATGGAATATGTATATTTTTTGGGTTCACTAGGGGAGCCGTTAAGTCACACACTCTGAATGACGGATTAATAAATACGTTTCACTGTACAAACTTATTAAATTGATTCAAGGCTAGATTTACGAATCAGACACGATGCCTTGTTGGCCATCTTGGTATCTCAGCGTACATTTGCCGTCACAGTTGTTGAAAGCAGATCCGGGATCTTCAAAGTACGGCACTGAATCATATTGTGGGTTCGTAAATCACGCTTATTTTATCTGTGTCTCCAAGGGTTTGGAGATTAAACTGTAGAGCACTTAATTAGTCATGACTAGTCTGCTTTAAAGGTTTGAGCGATGCGGGCGTTTTAAATTGATCAAACGTTCTTTAATTGCAACCTCCGTCTAATGGTGAAGTACTACGGCGTGAGAGACTATCACAATCTTTCGTGTCATACTGTAGCGTATCTGTAGACAGAGAGACAGAAAAGGGCTGTGAATCAACAAGAGAGCAAGTCATAAGGTCAATCAATCCCAAACGCCGATCCTGGAAGAGCTGACGTCCAAGAAACACACACCCTCACACAAGATCTACTGACTCTGACTGCGATGGACCATTAAGACACGCAAGCACCTTGCTTACCAAGGATTACGAGCACAATTTTGGTGTTGTGGCATATTTTGTCCTTGATACATGTCTACGCTCCGCTTAAGAGGCATCGTCCGTTAGACCTTTGAGGAGTTGAACATGCCTTGTGGCAGTTCCGCAGTTCCCCTGTGAGCAAACAGAGCATCACTGTGGAGCCACGTACAGGTCTCGCGCCAATTAGAGGCTTTCTCCAATTCCTTCGTGTTTCCGTGTACATTCGTCCAATCACAGTGAGGCCTTCCAACGCACGGTTAAAGTACGATGCCACCATGAATCACAAGATGTGCCACATTGACCAATAACGATGTACGGATGAAAAGGTAACGGTTGGCCAACGGGAAAGTACCAAAGACCCGTGGTGATACGCGTCCAAGTGACAACACAGCAAAGTTCAAACTCTAACAAGCGCGCCGGTGCATATACGCGTGGATTTTGTCGCGTATTGCTTGGGTGTTCGGGTTAAACAACGGGCTGTGTCACGCGAGCAGTCACAACTAAAAACACACACAGACTAAAAAGTGATCAACACGGTTTCCAGGGCAATTACTGTGGCTGCACATTTTGTTTACAGTTTTTATGAGCGATGATTGGAGCGTAGTGGTAGCATAAGCCAGTATACGGGATAGAGCGTTTTCCTTCCCCATAACAGGGTGGTGCTACTGTTCACCGTTCACCAGGAGTGACACGGTCATGCTACTAATCTGCATTGTCTCAAACTCTGTGTGGCACAATTATACGGCCAACGTCAATGTGGTTGTTTGGAGAAGTTGAACAAATCTGGATGAGAAATTTCGTTACCCTGGTGAAATTGTTTGTTTACTTTGTCTCACCCCCCTTTGAAAAAATTTTCCTTCTCCGTTTGCAACTTACAGTGACAACGCACAGTTTGGCAACCCCAAACACAACAACTAAGCCTCTGCCTCGATTCGCTTTACCCTCTCTTTTTCCTTGTTCTACACCGTTTGGGTAATATAAGAACAATTGATGCCCACCAACTGACAATCTCTGTGTGCTTGAAATTCAAACCTCATTTCATTCAAACGCACACCGTAGCAAAGTAGGTAGCCATAGACAAGGTGGCCAAACCCTGAATTCACCGAGATCTCCCATTCTCCACTGGTGTTTTCTGATTGGTCAGCCGTTACAAAAAAGTGCAATGGCACCGTCAAAAGTAGGGAAAAAAGTGCGACCCGAGTCCCAAATGGGCAACACGATTCCCGATTGGGATCTTGGAGGTCACCTGAATGGTGCGGACGGCAGCAAATACAAGTGGAATTCTGTACGGTTGATGCATTTCGCTCAACATCACCTGGGTGGGAAAACTTTTCTTAACTATGTGTTGCTGTGGCTCCAATATTTACAGTATCCCATTTTCGGACCGGCTTGTACATTTTAGCCTTTTTCTTGTGGACTTTTTATGCATTCCGCTGCATGGTCTGCATTCCCAGGCGCTTCACGCAGTAGGAAGTAGAGGCCTACTGGCAAGAATCAACAACCCTCAGAATCTCGAGTTGATCATTCTCATACGGCCCCCCTTTTTTTCTTAACCTTTCTCTTTCCCTTTCTTCATCATCATCTCTCTATTGAATTCAATCCCTTTCGTTATTTGAAGTCGAAAACACACTCCAGTCATTCCTTTTATCATTTTCAGAGTGTTCACATACGTCTAACGGGTTCTAATCATACAACCACAACAAACGGTACTATTGACAGAATCTTCAGAAACACCCTGTGTAAATTGCAAGAAAAGAATTACCAAACAAACACGTGAATTTCTACCAGCTACAAATGCTTTTCCAGAACGCTATTATTCCGATTGCTTTGGCCTCAGTTGCCCTTGCTGCTGAGCCAACGACAACTTACACGTCGACAATCTACACCACTTATACCTTGTTGACTCCTGAGGAATCTGCTGCTCTTCTCGCTGCTGAACAATCTTCCGCCAGTGCTGTGAGTGCTGCTTCCGTGGCTTCTATTGAATCAGCTGCCTCAGCTGCTTCCGAAGCTTCAGCTGCTAGTGTCCTCTCTGTCCAGTCAGCTGCTTCTGAGGCTTCAGCTGTTTCTGTCGCTTCCGTCCAGTCTTTGGCCAAAGCAGCTTCTGTGGCTTCAGAGGCCTCCGAGGCTTCTGTCGCTTCTGTCGAATCAGTTGCTTCTATTGCATCTGCTGAATCAGCTGCCTCCGTCGAATCAGTTGCCTCTGTTGCATCAGCCGAGTCAGTCGCTTCCCTTGCTTCAGAATACTCTGTTGCATCTGCTTCATCTGCTTCTGAAGCCTCCGTCGAATCTGCTTACTCAGTGGCATCTGCTTCTTCTTACGCTGCCGAGTTGGCTTCTATCTCATCTGCCTCAGTCGCTTCAGCTTCTGCAAAATCAGTGGCCTCTGAATCATCTGTTTCAGCTTATAACGCTTCCATTGCTTCAGTCGCTTCTGTCGCATCAGTGTCTTCAGCTTTAGAGGCTTCCATCTCCTCTTCGTTGTCTTTGTCCAGAGCTAACGGTCTCTTGGCCATTGCTTCAGATGCTTCAAACTCTACCACTTCTACTTCGTTCAACACTACAACTGCTGTTCCAAGTAGCTCCCTCGAGGAGGTTACAGCTTCTTTGACTTCCATCTCTTCCTCTGCAACAGTGGAGAGTGCGTCAAACTCCACCAGTGCTTCCACTGGTTTGGCTGCTGTGCGTGAGATCCCACTTGCTCTCACGGTTGGTGTTTTCGGTATCGTCTTTGGTGCTTTGCTCTAATATTCATCTTTGCCTGAACACACTACTGCTTTCAACAACATGAACTTTCAATACCCTGCCATTTCCCTCTTTTACACTTGATTTCCACCATCACGACCGTCTCCTTGCCTTTTTATATTGTCCTTGTCTTTTCTGATTTGATGCTTTCCAATATGTCCTTTCTTGGTTTATCAAACCTACTTCTAATCTCTATTGGAATACGCTCGTACTACAACTATCCTGTGTCGCTTTCGTGAGTGCTCTGATCCTTTTGTTGTCTTTAGAATGCTAGCACTTTTGTCCCTTTCGTCCCAATCTCCTTTGACTTCTTCAATATCTTGACTTTTCTAATGTCAAGATTGTATTCAGCTCTATTTGTTTGATTTGTTATACCTTGCTATTTCTTTTTTATATGTGATATTTTTGTATATTAAAAGGACTTTTATTTGCGACCGCAACAACTATTAAGAACTTGTTGTAGAGAGTACAGTGTATGTATGCTATGTGTGTGTAATATAACATCTCATCTGCTAATCACTTGTTGATCAATAACAGCAGAGTATATGTGATTACGAGCACCTCTACCAGCGTCTATCCAACGTCCCAATCTGTGCTCCTTGGACATTGCAGCAATGACCCTGATGCTTTCCTTACCATGAGGTCCACTCTCTGCAACATCGATTCTTGTGACGATGCCCTTGGCATTAGGCAGCTCACCCAATGGTGTAAAAGATCTCAAATTGTCCTCCAACTTCCAAACTTTGATGGTTCCATTCCAAGATCCAGAGAAGAACACGTTGGAGTAGGGAATTGCATGGAGTGAAGTGATCCAATAAGGCTGTGGCTGAGGAACTTGTTGTTCTCTTAATGCTGGATCATTCTCTGCAGAAGCCTTATCACTTGCGACACTTGGTAGCACACCATGAGCACAGTGTTGGATGAAGATTGGCTTCTTCTTTGCCAAGGACCAGAGAGATATACTTCCGTTATCAGAACCTGTAACAAAGTAGGTATCGTCAATCATAGAAACACAATCGATACTGCCCTCCGCAAAGAACTTCTCCTCATGCTCTTCTTGTTTATCATCGAGATCCATCTCATCGTCATCTCTTCTTTTCTTCTTCTTCTTCTTTTCATTCTCACCACCTCTAAAGGTCAATCTCGTCTCATCGGCAATTTTCCACAACATGGCACACCGATCTCTCGATCCCACAGTGACACAACGTTCTTGTCCCAGTGCACTTATATCCGCCACAGTGTCCTGGTGACCGTACAAGATCTCCAACTGCGCAAACTGGTTTATGCTATAGGTTCTCACCTTGAGGTCTGCGCATGCAGCGTACAGCTGATCAGATCCACGACGGAACACAAGGCCCATAACTTCACCACGGCGATCACGAGTCTCTAACACCCTTTGACATGCCAATGCCTCTGTGCTCCATACGATGATTCTTTTGTCTCTTCCACCGGTGATGACGTATCTTCCATCAGGGCTCGCAGCAACCGTGAGAATCTCATCCGAGTGTCCATTCTTAGAAGGATCAGAGTCGATCTGTGTGAATTTCTTACCACCCTTGGTGTGTTTCAACCTCAATGGCTTCTTCTTGAAGTCGCTGATGTCCCATTTAACCAGCTCTGTATCTTTTGAAATTGTATATGCATATGGGAATCGCACAGATAATCCCGTCAACGCCTTCGATCCAATTCTGGTGATCGAAGGCTGCACATCTGACAACAACAGATTGTCCGCAATGAATCTGTAGACGTGGCCCTTGGTCTCTGCAACGTCTTCTTTCAGTCTCTTCGAGATGATCTCGTCGTCCAGGTCCTTCGCGTCAAAGTCATAGTCACCACCAACCTCTTGCTTCAGGTTCTCCAAGTACTGCTTAGCCAGGCGACGACGCTTGTCAGCAGCGCTCTCCCCAGCAAACTCAGCTTCACTGTCCTCGTCCTCCACACCGCTCTCGCCCCCGTCCAACGCTCCCTCATCGTAAGACACATTCCCAGCTTCATCTTCAGAACCACTGATTCCAGAGATCTCCTCATCGCCCTCGGCATCACGGCGTGCCTTCTTCGCCTGTACAGAAGCACCCTGCTTACCGCCTCTGCTTCTCTTCTTCTTCTTGCTCGGATCTCTCAGAAACGGATCCCCAGCCATCGTTGCAAACCTGTTTGTTTATCTGCCTCTTATGCCCTCTACGCTGTAGTTGGGAAGAAGGCTCGGGAAATTTTTTCCCTTCAGCTTTCTCACCGTGCACAGGCTTTAGATGCAAAATTACACGGGCTCGTTGCCTTCACGGTGAAGCTAAAGGATTCAAACTTGCTGGACAGAGCACTCAGCAGAGAGAACAGCCAATGGCGTGGAAGGCTTACAGGTTTCTGGCCAATTTGGGCGTGTGAGTGGGAGCTTGAAGCTCAGCGTAGGAACTACGCCGGTGGACGATGATTACGTAATCGATGAGATGAGCACGGTAGGGGCCGCAGCGTGCGAGATGGTTATACTTAGTAGAGTGAATGGGATTCCAATTATACACCGTTTTCGTCTCTTTTTGACTCCTTCAGCACTTCCACGGCTGTGGATTCATCTCCGATGATGGAGTATATGCGCAGGACGTCCACGACTTCTTTGAAGGAGGGGTTGTGCGAGCGTATGCCTCTGAGATACTCGTTGAGCACGGCTTTGAATTCGTATCTCAGGATGTTGATGGTGGCCATCTTGTGCAGGACGAACTGGTACTGTGGCAGCGAAGCGACGATCTGGTGGATCGTGAGATATAGGGACGTTAGCTGTTTCAGAACTTCTATTTGGATTCTATGTGTGTGTGTGGGGGGGGGGAGACCACCCCCATGTTGTCAGTATTGGATGAAGATGAGATACGGTGTTTGGTACTTACGTCTCTTTATTCTGGTTCAACAAAGTTTCAAACTTGGTGATGAAATTGTCAAGCAGAAGCATGTTCTGAGCATGTTGCTAGACGATAACAGTCAGTGTTATGTTCCCCGAGGGAATAATGCGTATGGAAACCGGTGTACGTCAACTCACCTTCAACTGCTGAAGTTTCTTAATATCACTTAACGACCTTTCCACATGCTCCTTGGAGATCTTGAGCTTTGCGTCCTCGTCAACGAGTTTCTTCTTATACTTGGAAACGTCCCCTCTCAGTTGATCCACAAGTTCCTCACCTCCGTCAAGCGTCTTTCCCAGGTTTATGAAGTCAAAGTAGTCATTGTTGACCATGTCGAACAGCTCCTGGTCCAGTTCAGTGACGAGTGCTTTCAGCTCCTTTTGCAGCTCGTCCAATTGACTATACCTATAATGTTCGTAGAGAAACTTGTCAACGTCAAACGGGATCTCTTTGATGTTGGCTATGGACTGCGTTGGGTTCTCAGGATCAACGTGTAAATCCTTCAAAAAGGTATCCCTTGTGATCCTGTTTGGGTAGGGGAACGCTTCATCTTCAAAGTCGAGATCCATGATGGGGGTAGTTAGTCTCTGATCCTGCAAGAGACTCCGTCAACTGAGTGTTTTTATATCTAAGCAAGGTGTGAAATTGAGCACACGGGTCTTATGTGTATACATCTGGACACCTAATAACCTGGACACCCAAACACCTGAACACCTAATAATCCGAACATCAAAACACCCAAACACCCAAGACACACGCGTACGCGTAAACTCGGCCAGGCTGTTGGTCAAAATCCCAGCTTCTCATTGATGGGTTTTACGCGTCATCTCCATCCAATTCGATATTCAAAGGTGATAAATCGACAAGTTCGGAAGAATGGTTCAACCAGAGATAAGGAGCGTATTCTCCACCGGTGGAAACACGCGTGTTGGGTACTCCAAAGCTGGAGATAAGCTGATCGTTGCTGGTTCTCATGGTGTTGTGAGGGTGTATGAAACTGAACACGACGATGTTGAGCCAGACACGTTCGACATTGTAGATGAAGTATCCAACATCGCAGTCTCTGGTGGTGATAAGTTTGCGCTTGCTTCAAAGATCGGTGAAGTTGAGCTGTATTCAATCTCAGGGAAGAAGAGCTTGAGCAAGATTGTCAGAAGTGCGTTGCCAATTAGAGGTGTTCAATTCACCCACGGTGATACCAAGTTGATCGCTGCTGGGGACGATGATGAGGTCCAGATCGTCGATGTGAACGACATCACACAGATCATCAAGTTCAAAGTCGAAGACCAGGTGCACGACATATCGTATAACAAGACGAGAGACTTGGTTGCACTGTCGTTGTCCAACGGTGCTATTGCGTTCTTCTCTCTGTCGTCTGAGGAGCCGAGATTGATCACTTCAATCAAGGGAGAAATCCCATCTTTGATATATCAGGATGACGATGAGACAACCGTGGATAATTTTGCCACTGGTCGAGTTGCATGGCACCCAAACGGCTCGCTATTTGCTGTTCCATGTGAGAATGGATCCATAAAGGTGTTTGATAGCGACGAGAATTACGGACAAGTGTACTCATTTGTTAGCTTACACAAAGCACCAATCACAGCGTTGGAATGGAGTGCAGATGGCTCGTTCTTAGCATCAGCAGATTTTGACAATAGGCTGATTGTTTGGGATCCAGATTCAAGACAACCAGAGCTTGACGAACAATTGCCCAATAAGATCATCAACTTATCATGGTCTCCTGTCTCTAATGGTAAGCTTGATCTAGCTGCTGGGTCATTGAAAGGTGATATCTTTTATTTCAAGGAGATTGTTGAACTGAAACAGAAGCAGAACCAAAGGGCAAACACTTCCGTACTGGATGATCTTGTTGCTGATGAGGAAGAGGGAGACCAAGGATCAGATGGAGATGAAGAAGACGATATAAATCTCTTTAGCGAGAGATCAAACGATGGGCCTGACACTGGCGAGGACCTCAGAGACTTTGTTGATGATGACGGATTCATCGACGCAGATGACGATGCAGATGGATATGCCATTCCACGAAAGAGAACAGCAGATGACGATGAAGACGATCTATCATCAAGACCAAGGAAAAGTGCACCAAAGGTATCGTTTGGCGTACCAGCCTTGAGAAAGGTTGATTTCAAACCGTACAGCCAAGGGTGTACACCATACATTGGAGATAGACGATATTTAACGATGAACTCTGTTGGATACGTATCCACTGTTAAACAGGACACTCACAACTCCATAACGGTATCGTTCTTCGACACCTCTGAACACAGGGAGTACCACTTTGATGACTTGTACGGATATGACCTTGCGGCCTTGAACAATGATGGTATTCTACTAGGATTCTCTGGCAAGGGCAAAGAGGCTAGCAGGGTCCTTTACAGACCACATAACAACGTTGCAGATTCATGGGAGAAAATCATACCTACAAAGGCCAAAGAGATATTGACTTCTGTATCTCTGAGTGACACTGTCGTCGTTGTATGCTCATCGGCTGGTTACATCAGATCCTTCTCGCTCTTTGGAATTGCACAATCGATTTATAAGTCATCGCCAATCATTGCATCTGCAACGAACTCCAATTACATCTTCTCTGTGTCCTTGTCCAATCAAACGCAGTTGATCTACAACCTGCAAGATTTAGAAGGCAGGTTTCTACAAAGAGATCTGGTGTTACCTGTGGAATTGGGCTCTAGCTTGGACTTCTTCAGAGGAGTGTTTTTCAGCGCATACGGCGACCCTGTAATTGTTGATAATGATGGTGTTGTCTTGGTACTTTCAAGCTGGCGTAATCCATTGCAGGCAAGGTGGGTCCCAGTGCTGGATTCCGATGTTAGGGTGCGCCAAGTTGGTGGTAAGGGTGACTTGAAAGTCTGGCCACTGGGCCTTCAAGGTGATAACTTGAACTGTATTATCATCAGAGGATCGCAGTACCCAACCTATCCCCTGGCATTACCTTCAGAGATGGAGATTAGAATACCAATGACACAGGATACAGAGGAGGACGTTGAAGACCCTGAGGAGGAGTTCCTCAGAGCCAAGACGATGGGCTCATTACTCGGCGAGACGTTGGCCAATGATGGTGAAAGCTTTGAAAATGACGAGGAGAGGCTCAACGAATACGCAATTGCTTACGACAGGGCATTGTTGAAGCTCTTTGTCAAGGCATGTTCCGAGGAGAAGAGCACGCACGCTTGGAAACTGGTACAGGATTTGAAGGAGGATAAGGCTTTGGTGGCTGGTGCCAAGGTTGCTGAGCGTGTTGGCCTCATTGCTCTAGTGAACCGTATCAATAAGCTCAGAGAACAGAGAATGGAGGCCGAATTGTTGGAATAGAACACCGCTTAATATGAACAGAGAGAATGGCAGTTCCGGACTCACCTAGCAGTCGTGCTACCGTCTTGCACAATAGCTGAGCATCAGTGAAATATACAATTGAGGATTCATACAAGGCCCATGTACCCTTAGATACACCGTGTCCTGAGTTATCCAACCAGTATCAATTGTAGATACCATCAGACGTAGCGTAGTACCAGCTTAGCAGTGGTGGTGGTGGTGTCTGGATGTATCACCAAGTGTGCTCATCTCCGGCGACACGTTGACCAAAATGAGCCAGGAGTAGGCTCCCATTTCGGTGAGCATTAGCGTGTATTAGGCAGATGTCATTGAAGCCCTTTGTGCCAGTGATTGTTGGCCATATACGGTTTGCCATACCTCAGCGATCTATCAGCGAGTTGCGATGGATTCATAGTCAATTGAGCAAGCACTACGGTCCTGTATTACAATGGAGAGACCTCATCTCGGAGTCGACGTATGAACACTTGAAAGGCAAGACGATGTTCGTGATGCAAGTACCCTTGAGAGGTGACGAGACTGAGGGGGTGAGGGAGAGGAAGAAACTTGCTCTATCTCGAGACTTGGAAAAAGTGGTCGGAATAGTCAAGTTCAGCCAACGGGACTCGGTCAACACGGACAACTGGGTTGCTGATGCTACGAGATCTATCAAGTTGACAGATGACGGGGACAACAACCACTTGGTAGATGTTGAAGTGGCAAACATCACGAACCCGTTCTTCAAAGTCTCGGACCATGGTGACCAATGGAGAGTACGAATAGATCGGAAGGTGTGTACGCCTATGATTATTACAACGGGAGATTATGTATCAAAGCAATGACTCTTCATATGCGATTAGAGGGGGTTGGCATAGTAACAGATAATAGACAATTACTTAGATAGTGTCTCCAATGTAGCCTTATCCTCTTTAATAATTTCCGACAAGTACTTTAGCCCCTTCTGTTGCTCCTCTAACGACTGTGCAATCATCAACACTTGTCTCTGTTTACTGTCAATATCAGTCAAGTCGTCTGCCTGTTCGTGGCTATTCAAACCCAGAGACTTGTCCATCTGGTCGCTCAAGCTCTTTGCCTTTTCCTTCAAAATTGCCAATCTTGCCCATAACTCATTGGTCTTGCCCAGGCCTGAAGGGTCTTGAGACTTATCCAGTAGCTCTTGAAAGTTCTGGATCAGTTTCTCCTCTGATGGTGATAGTTGATAACCTCTTGATTTTAGCACAGCTAAAGTGGACACCAATTTTAGGATTCTTCTAGAGATTCTAGTATGCTTAGCCTTTGCTGCGACGATTCGTGAAGCAGTATCCAACTCGTGCTTATCACTCAACATCTTGTACTTGTCACTGATCTGCTGTAGAACAACTCTTGCCTGTGCCACATGGTTCACCTGTGTCTGCGATCTCTTTTGTAGGTCTTCAAACCCTACAGCACGCACCGGGATCAGGTTATTCGATGGTCTCGACTCAAATGCCTTGTCCCATTGTTCGTCCTCGTTGATGGGCTTTGAATATAGAGCTGCCTGTGTCTCAGGTACTTTGTTGTAGAAGTAAGTCTTCAAGACTGTTTGTTGAGACGTTGGGTCCCACGAGGACTTCACTTTGCTGAGCTGTTCTTGGATGGTTATGGCGTAGTTGTTGTTAGCCTGGGCCTTATCGTTGGAGGCAGATGTGAATGATAGTGGTTGTTGTTGTTGTTGTTGTTGTTGCTGCTGTTGTGTTCCTTGTTGATTATTCTGTTGGGACCAGGCAAACGCTGGTTGTGATGACGTTAAGGAGGACTGTTGCTGTTGCTGTTGCTGTTGTTGCTGTTGCTGTTGTTGCTGTTGCTGTTGTTGCTGCTGTTGCTGTTGTTGATTACTCCCAAACAGCCCACCAGCAGCTGGTTGTTGCTGTTGATTACTACCAAACAGTCCACCTGTCTGGGTCTTCTGCTGAGTGTTACCAAACAGCCCACCACTAGCTGGCTGCTGCTGTTGTTGGTTCGCAGTTGATGCTCCAAAGAGCCCACCTGCTGACGCCGTGGCTGGCTTAGCACCAAAGAGCCCACCAGAGGTATTCATAGCAGTATTTGTAGCACCATTAGCACCAGCATTAGCATCAGCATTGGCACCAAACAGCCCACCACCAGTGGTTGCACCAGCACTCGCACCAGCGTTACCAAACAGCCCACCGGCCTGGGCAGCTGGCTTAGCACCAAACAGAGAACCTCCACTATTCGTCGAACCAAACATCGTCTCCTTCTTCCTTTGTCCAATGGATATTCAATGTCCACAGCACTACTGGAGGAAAAAAAGTTTGTCCCTTTGTTTACTTTTCCATTGCAAAAGACAAATGGAAGGGACAAAAGAAAAACGGTTGACTTCCTAAACAGGAAAGACAGAATTGAACTCCCACCATATAAGAAAAACACACCCGCGAATTCGTTTTACCTCAGTTTTTTCTTCTTTGTGTGTGTTCCAACCCCCCTGAAAGAACCAATGAAAATCCAAAACACAACCTTTTCTCCCTTCCTTTGATGAACAGCATCCGAGAACATCAACGAGAATAGCGAGATGGCCAATAAGAGAGAACCAAGCTTGAGCCACCAATGGCTGGTCGACCCGACTCCTCTGCCTGCCGATATTCCGGAGGTTGAGGAGATCGGGGCCACGTCTGCTCCTCTGAAGTCAGCTGCCTTCTTCATTGGCGACCGTTGTGGTGCTTATAACGATGACTTCATGCTCTGCAAGGAGCAGAGCAAGTCTGGCGAGGTTGAGTGTTTGAAGGAAGGTAGACGTGTGACGCGTTGTGCCAGCAGCGTCATCGCAGACCTGAACAAGAACTGTGCTGAGTCGTTCCGTCTTCATTGGCAGTGCCTGGACAACAACAACCACGAGCTGTTCAAGTGTAGAAAAGCGGAGACTCTGCTGAACAGCTGTGTGTTCAAGAGCCTGGGGCTGGAGAAGAAGATCCCTAACGGCGAGCAGATCCACCTGAAGGAGAAGCCACTCTATAGACCAAACATTGAAGACCGTCCTTCTTTGAAAGCGTACGAACTGGCAAAGAAGGAGGGCACTTTGTGAATGTGTGTTTACTGTCCTCCTGTCTTTTGAGTTCAAACTTCACCATATTTATTGAATATTTATTTATATAACCTACATATCAACGTTATTTATTTCCATTCCTGGCTGGAGGCGTAGCTTGGAGTCGAATATTGATGCTGAACAAGAGAAACAGGCGGAGGAAAACTCCGCTGAATACTCGCGTGTGAGCCAATAACGCCCACGGGGAGGTGAATGGAGGAAAGATGGCGAAGAAGGCAATAACGGTCTTCCCGGTGGTGGTGTCCATACTCATATGGTTGTATAGGAGTCATTGGCTCGAGGATTCTTCGATCGAGTCGACACAGATAGTGACGACGCCATGGTCATTATCAACATTGGACAACAACAACAACAACAACAACAACAACAACAACAACAACAACAACATCAGCAGCGCGGGTGTCAGCTGGGAACATCACAGCGGTCAGTTTGACCCAAGGGACTTCCCGATTGCAGTGCTATCGTACCTGGCCAAAGGCGGTGACGGCTCTATCCCAATAAACAGCTGGAATGACCTCTTGAACGTGTCTGCCAAACCTGAGATTGGTCAATATTGGCTGGAGAGACATCCGATTGAACAACTCATGACGCTGAATTCGTACGATTCCCGCTTATACCCTGTGGAATACAACACTGGTGAGTCTGTACTATCCTCAATACCTGAAAGGATCGATTCCTTGCAAGAGCTTATCAATGCCACACTGGGCAATAGCCGTGGTGTCGTTCACCACCAATCTATGGAGCTTTCCAGAGAGGACTTCATGCTTGATTCCACCCCGATGGAGGATGTGCACTACAGGTACTTCAAGGAGGGGATCCTTGTGAAGAAAAGGGGATTGGCTCATTATGAGGCACGGTTCTACGAGTGTAAACTGACTCCAATTGCAAGAGTTTCAACGTTACACCGTATTGTACGCGCATGGTCGAGATTCACCGCTGCGTATGGGCTTAAAACCTGGATTGCTCATGGCTCGTTACTAGGATACTACTTCAACGGGCTGATATTCCCCTGGGATGACGATCTGGACGTTCAGGTCACCGCCAAATCGTTCATGGAGCTGGTGAAACTGAACAACACTTTGGTGCTCGACTTCACAGATGTGGATGCCATTGGAACATATGTCATCGACATCAACCCGTGGTTTGCCAATAGGGTGAAGGACTCTGACAACAAGATCGACGCCAGGTTCATAGATACACAGACAGGGCTGTATATCGATATAACCACGCTCACCACTGATAGCCAGTTGCCTAGTGATCTGGAAGATGGCGAGACTCAAGAGTTGTACAAGGTGTTCAACCCATATCACGAGCCGGACGCAATTACAGAACTGGAGGTGTATGAGTCTGAAATGGCACACAAGGTTAACTTGTCGATAACGAACAACTCCTTAATATCGTGTAAGGATAACCATTTCTACACCTGGAGCGAGTTGTCACCGTTGATTCCAACGGTGTTTGAAGGGACCATCGTGTATATCCCCAACAACGTTGAACCTGTTCTGCTGAGGGAGTACGGCAGAAGGAGCCTCTACCTCCACGATTTCAAGGGCTTCCACTTTGACAGGCACCAACGGACATGGAGCCATCCTACAATTCTTAGCGAATACAACGGTATAATGGAGAATTTCATTGAGAATCATTATCAAGTGCTGCAAACCACCTTCAAGAAACACACGTTCCATGAAGGCCTGTTACGGCAGTATCCTATATTCCGTACCGGTTCAAATGAAGATCATCAACAGATATGTACATGACAGAAAGACAAAGCACACGCATATGTGTATATAGTGCTCAGAGCTCCAAGGAAGAGATCATTTCAATTGCTTCTGAACAAAATGGACAATGATAGGGGTAAGCCATAAGGTGGCACCGATCGCCAAAGATGTGTAGAGCGTGTTGTTTGTAGCAGCTTGGTGAGCTTTCTTCTGCTCGTCAGACAATGGTTGACCTCCACCGAACATTTCTTCTGTGCTGTGTATATGTTTTTTATCCAATTGCTTGGTGATGTTTGAGAGATGTGGAAAGTGTGTGTTTTGGAAGATTTTGGACGATTTTCTCAAAGGAGCCAGGCGATGGCGGTAGAGAAAGGCAAAAAACCCACACACCGACCAAGTGGAGGCCAGTTTTCGGAACTCGGAATTGGAGATCGGAATGATTTAATCTCGGAAATAGGATTCGGGATCCGTTGCGTGTCGGAATTACCTGGAAAGTTTGAAAATGGGAAACTTCAGCGGTAAACACAAAGCACAGTGGCCCCAGGGACAGGGCGGTAAAGCGATTGAGACCACGGCGGCTGATCGTTGAGAGAACAATGAGCGACGAAGAGAGAGCAGAATCACAGGAAGTAGAGGAGCAGCCGGTTGAAGAGCAGCCGGTTGAAGAACAGCCAGTTGAGGAGCAGTCGGTTGAAGAACAACCAGTTGAGGAGCAGCCAGTTGAGGAGCAGCCAGTTGAGGAGGCTGGCGAAGCTGGTGAAGCTGAAGATCCTGAGAAGGGTGAAACTACCGAGACTGCTGGGGAAGAACAACAGCAAGCGCCAGAGGGAGCACAAGAAGACAACGAGGAAGAGGACAACCTCTCAGACGTTGACGAGAACGACACGTTTCTCGACTACACAGAGCTGTCAAAGCTGAAAGCGAGCAGACGTAAGACCGAGGCCTCACAGACAGGGCCTTTGAGGAAACAGAGAGACGTGGAAGACGATTTCGAAGAGAGGGAGGCCGCTCTTCCTCATCAAACGCTGGATGAGTCCACAAAGAGGCGCGAGGAACTCGAAGAGAAGTTTGAAAGGGCGCTGAAGAGACCGAAGATCAGTCGTAGAAAAGACGAGCACGACCTGACCAACGACGACGATGAGATGATTCAGATTCTAAAACAACAGATGGACGCGGCGGCAAAGAAGGACGCCGAGCTCATCGAGAACGGCTCAGGTATCGCAATCAACAAGGTGAAGCTGTTGCCAAAAGTGCGCGATGTGTTGAGTAAGGTGAACTTGGCGGAAGTTATCCTGGATAACAATCTGCTCGCCGAGGTTAGACAGTGGTTGGAACCATTGCCTGATGCGTCGCTGCCTTCTTACGAGATCCAAAAGACGTTGTTTACCGCGTTGCTGAAGTTGCCAATCAACACAAACCATCTGAGAGAATCGGGTATCGGTAAGATCTTGTTGTTCTATCAGAAGTCAAAAAGAGTTGAGCCAAAGATCAAAAGAGTGGCTGATAAGTTGATTTCTGATTGGACAAGACCTATCATTGGTGCAAGTGATAACTATAGGGACAAGAGAATCCACGGGGTTGATTTTGATGCCCGCAGACTGAAACTAAAGGCAAATAAGCCTCACAAGTTGACTGCCGAGGAGAAGCGTAAACGTGAAGCTGACAAGACCATCTACGAACAACAGGCTGCTAGAAGAAACAGAGCAGCTGCACCAGCACCAACAGTTACTGATTACAGATTTGCACCAAGGTCCAATGTTGACAAGTCTCAACAATCCATTGCCACCGCAGGTGTTGGCTCGTCGCTGAACAGAGACGACCAGTTCAAGAGAATCAACCAGAAATTATCAGGTAGAAAGGGAACTTCAAAGAGAGGAGGAATCAGTATCGAAGGCAGAGGTTTAGGTATTTAGAAACCCAAAGTCAAACAAAGCAAGCAAAACCTACTAATTACTTCAAAAGTAAAAGATAATTAACTCATGTATGTATAAAATATACAAAATTTCATCACATAAGAAAAGAGAAAGTTGGTGCGAACAGGATCATGATCTTGGTTTCTCCTTCTTCTCCTTCCACAAGGCCAACAAGGAGACACCAGAAACCTTGACGACTTTGAATCTGACACCTGGGATATCACCCTTAGCCTTACCCTTTCTACCGAAACCAGCAAGCAAAACTTCATCGTTCTCATCGACGAAGTTCAAACAACCATCGTTTGGAACGAAAGCAGTAACTCTCTTACCGTTCTTGATCAATTGAACTCTGACACACTTTCTGATAGCAGAGTTTGGTTGCTTGGACTCAATACCAATCTTTTCCAAGACGATACCCTTAGCGTGAGAAGAACCACCGAATGGAGAGGACTTGAAAGCAGTTCCCAACAATCTCTTCTTGTAAGATTGTTCAGCCCAACGGCTATAATACGGTTGTTAGTATGTCTGATCAAGCGTACTTTTGAGAACTGTATAGATTGATTGGATGGGATGAGCAAGAGCAGCAAAGCTGGAGCTTCAATCACACTGCCCATGCTCAAAGTATTGGGCTCATATATCGCCTTCTTCGTGCACATTGTCCACTTGTTCTATGGATGACTATCACAACCCTCCCCATCTCTTGCAACTCTTGATGCCATCCCTCACATCACCAACCAATCAACCACAACGTATCTTCCTCAGTGTCGATAAACTCACTTGTTTCTTCTGTGGACTCTCAACTTTCTAGCGGAGTTCAAACCTCTTGGCTTACCCTTACCCATCTTGTTGTTGTATTCGTCTTAATATTTCAAGAAGAGGTAAAGTGAGTTGGTTTGGTTTTGATGAAAAAAAGACTTTTCACACAAAGAAGCCCAGTGAGAGAATCCCAACGCAGCCGGGCAACACACACAGCGAGGCGGAAAAAAAAGCACCGCGCACACACAAAAACTGATTATATAATCAAACACCCGGACACACGAAAAGCAGGGCTCCAGATGCAGTGTCACGTGAAAATAACACCTTTAGGGCTACAAACACGCATCATCTCTTATCACCAGGGCACTTTGGGCAATATACATCTTGGAAAGATTATCAGACTGAGCCGACACAGGCAACGGTGGGAAAGGAGAATGTCGACCTTAACTGACCCGCTGATTGCAGACTACCTTCGCCGTAATGGGTTTACAGACACACTGAGGTCATTCGAATCGCACGTTGGTGTACAACCTCGTATAAACTACGAGAAGCTGGAAGACATTATCCATGATCGAACTGCCTATATGGACAGAGGAACCGATGGGTTGGTTGATTCCGGTGCTAATATCAACAACAAGTCGGAGAACTCGCATCTGTTCAATAAATGGAGCGGGATTGAGCTACACAGCCTGAAGGAGATTAATCATGGAAGTCTATTCATCGATATGTCTCTCGGTAGGTATGGCAATCGACAAGTTGTGTTCTTGTCAGCCAGTGATAAGTCCATCTGCATCTATGACGTCTCAAAGGGCCAAATAACAAATAGATTCACCGAATTGTCCAATACGGTAACGAAATGTTGCTATCCTATTAATGACCAAGGGTTAGTGTCGTTGTGCGGGATGGACGGTGTCATGAGACTGGTACAATTGTGCGATGAACCAAGAGTGATAACCAGCTGCCAACTGCACAACAGACTGATTACAGACTTTGAGGTGTTTGTTCTCAAAGGTGTCAAATATATCGTTTCAATTGGCTGGGATAAGTACGTCAAGGTTCACAAATTGGTTGATGAGGATACCAAGGTTGAATTTGTCTCTCAGTTTGAACTGTTGACGAATGCAACAAGTGTCAAGGCGTGCCAAACACCAAGTGGCCATTTACTCGTGCTAGTGACTAGAATGGATTCGTCGTTGGTTTCCATTCTAACCCCTTTCCTGGGGAATGAGCTTCGGGAAATCTCCAGGATATCTTTGAACGATGCACAGTTCTCAACACATGCCTTCACAGCAATGTCCATGGACTTGAGCTTTAACAACAATGATTCGATCTGCAATGATGATTCGAAGATCGTTGTGAGCACATCTGATGTGCCATATATGAGACTCATAGTTGCTAAATTCCCCACAGATCTGGATAAGAGAATTGAGCAACAGTTACCCACAATTGGGGACTTGAGCCTGGAGAGAACTACGGAGAGCTCGCAATCACTGATCAGTGTCATTGACAGGGACGTTGTACTGTTAAACCTCAGCACAAATGCTCCACAGGATAAGCTTAGCCAGAGCAAGATTCAATACTCCAACGAGGATAAAGGCGTGTGGATCTTTAGTGAGTGTGGTGAGGTTCTCGCTATTGATCTCTACACGGGCGATAACGTGTGTATCAAGAAGAGTTTCCAGCTCCAACGGATCAAATGTGCCATTGCGTTTGTCTGTCCGGACGGTTGTGAACGTCTACTGATTGCACAGGCAGACAAGTCGTTAGTCGTTGTTGACTCTACAAATCAATAGTGTGCAACATGCGCATATTGAGTAATAACAATAGAAAAACGTCTATAACCATAAACAAAGATTCATTTGACTTGACGTCTTGCTCTAAGCAATGCAAATAACGACTTCATAGCCAAGGTGATTTCATCTTTGAACATAAAGACAAACCCTTGCACCAGCACTCCCTTCAACAGCTGTGGCTTGAGGCCTTTCCACAGCGAGGTCCAGCCTTCATTGACAACCAGGTATCTCAAGATTGACTGGAACGATCTCATATCTTTGTTGTTTGGGTCGTCATTCTTCTGTAGCATAACCTTTGAGATGATCAAAGGCTGTGTTATGATGGTGGCCAGCATCTTGGAGACCACACCAAGGGCAAAGTTCTCATGAGGATGGAGGAACTTTTGATTAGGGAACAGGATCGCCTTCAGTCTCTCAAAGGATGCATACGTTATAGATGGGTTTATCGTCAACACGAGACTCACTTTCAACCCTCTCCACAAGCCGGTGATGCCATCCTCTTTCAAGATGTTTTTCGTTGTCTGGACGATGGAATGGTTCTTCTCAGGGTTCACCTGCTGGCGTGTTGAGATAACGCTGATTGGATTCGTAAACAGCTGGCCCAAGGCTGCTGCAACGATCCCCAGCAACAGCTCCTCCGGCGTTGTGTTAGCAATGACTCGTCTGTAGCGTGACAGCTTCAAACGATACCACAGCTTACGAACCCACGAGTACCAGTAGAAGTAGGTGAAGCTCTGGACTGCGGACGACAGCAACGATGAGCTGAGACCCTTGTACCAACTCTTGAGGCCCTTCTTCTTATAGAGCGAGACCAGACAGTCCAATGCATTTTTGTACTCGGACTCGGACTTGGTCTGGGTCTGGATAACGGTTTTCGCTAGGTCCAAAGGATAAACAATGGTGTTGGCCACGATCGAGGCAGATGCACCGTACACAGCGTTCTCCAGTGATGACATTTGTCTCGGCTTGTATCTCCTTCTTTTTCTTAGTCTATTGGGTAATCTTGGGGAGTTTTCCTTCTTAAAAAAAGGACAAATCAATTGATCTTTATATGGAGCCGGGAGGAGGGACTGAAGCACACAGGATGGTCTGGATTGAAGTACAGCTGGGTTATTACGTTTAACGGCCCCCTGCACATTACGTCGTTTTATGGGGGAAAAAGCCTAATTTTCATGGTTTTCTTTTTGCTCTTCTATCTGTTTGTCTCTGGAGGTTGTCCTGCGCTTGTTTTCCCCACAGTTTTCGACAACCACGCGAGGGGTGATCGCAGCGCGAGCAGGTCTCATGGTGCCGAGGCCCTGCCATCACGGTTAAGGGGATGCGCTAATTTACCGAAGAGATAAGTAACGGGATCCACCGCCTATTTCCAGAGTAACAGCGTAGTCATCACGGTAGGTGTGGGACTCGCACTGAGAATGGCAACTGGGGGGGGGACACATACGTAACTGGCGGGAGAGGAAATGTCTTTTTTAAAACGATACATATGCTTCGAGTTAATGTGGCGGCAGGGGACGATGATGTGAGACTTTGTCCAATTAATTTGTTGGGACAATTCGCAGTGTGTCCGACCTGGTCTCACAGTGCAGAAAGCACTAAAACGTCACATCGTGTGGTAAACACCTGTGTTCCCGACCATCTGGTCTCGTACTTCTTCCTTTGTCCCTCGCCATGCCTTTACGCATGTCGAAGGCATCCTTATCGTCGTTCACCATCTTGGTGTTTGGCACCCAACTACCATTACCGTAATAACCAACAACACGTCTATATACAGAATATCCCAGCTTCTCGTACATCCCGATGGCCAGTGAATTGGTCACCTTGACGAAGAGATCGATGAAGTTTGTCTCGTGAGGAGGGGCATCGGTGATGTACTCAAGATTATCACACAGGAACGAGGCCAGCCCTAGTCGTCTGTAGTGAACATTCACCGTCACAGCGGTGATGTGGGTGTGCCATAGATCACCTTTACCCTCTGTCTTTCCCATCATGTATCCGCTGTTCACGTCACCAACCTCCACGCTCTTGAAGAATAACGAAGGCCATGTCGTTAGGTATTCGAGGTAGAAACCAATGTTGAAGTTCTCAGTCAGTGGATCAAGGTTGACTGCATTCAGGTCAAATAGATCAGTGGCCTGGAAAGGTCTCAGGGATGTCATTTGTGTCAGGCTTCGATCCTCTGTCCCTTGTCCTGTGTCCCTGGCCCTATGTCCCTTATGCTTTGTCTTTTTTAGTCGTGGAAAAACTGGCGGAAAAAAAACTGATATTGGAAACCCATACACCACTAGTACAACATCACAACACTGCAACAGCGCTACAATGACTCGCTTCAGAGGCTGTATTGATATCCACTCTGGCCAGGTTAAGCAGATTGTTGGTGGTACATTATCTGGTGATGACGTCCAAAGAGATGAAGCGTTGACCACGAATTTCGTCTCGAGTCTTCCGTCGTCTCACTACGCATCTCTGTACAAGGACAACAACGTTAGAGGGACACATGTCATTAAGCTCGGGTCCAATGAAGCCAACGACAACACTGCTAAGGAGGCGCTGAAGACATGGCCAAATGCTCTGCAGATTGGCGGTGGCATCAACTTGGAGAACGCACAGTACTGGATAGATCAGGGTGCTTCGCACGTCATCGTCACTAGCTGGCTATTCCCTAACGGTGAGTTTGATCTGTCTAGGCTACAACAACTCTCTGAGACCATTGGAAAGGATAGACTCGTTGTTGACCTGAGCTGTAAGAGACAGATCAAGAACGACAAGGTTTCGTGGGTCGTTGCCATCAACAAATGGCAAACATTGACGGACTTCCAGCTCTCAAAGGAGACATTTCAAGAGTTATCACAATACTGTGATGAATTTTTGGTCCATGCCGCAGACGTCGAGGGCCTATGCCAAGGCATAGACGAGGAGCTCGTTGTGAAGCTGGCTGAGTGGTGTAATATACCAATCACATATGCTGGAGGTGCGAAGGACGTTGCCGATCTCAGAAGAGTTCAAGAACTCAGCCAGGGGAAAGTCGACCTCACATATGGCAGTGCTCTTGATATATTTGGTGGAAAGCTAGTTAGATTTAAAGACTGTGTTGATTGGAACAGTCAACATTGATTTCAACGTATATACATCCGCATATTAGTACTGATACTGTCCGTATTGAGACCCGTACTGCTGACCATACTGTGAAGCCCCATATTGTGATTGACCATATCCGGTGTTGCCACCACCATAACCTGTAAAGCCACCGTTTGTTTGTCCATGAGCTCCATAACCAGTACGGGATCCATCAGCAATCTTGTTCAGCTCTGAAACGATACCGGCAATCTTTTTCTGCAAGACATCAATACCACGCGCAACAACCTCATTTGGTGGTAGCGAGCCAACAGTCTCAACGTTTATATAGAACTTATCCGGTTCAGCTCTGTAATCAAACTCGTCATCCTTTGAAGGTGGATCTTCGAATCCACAGTTCTCAGATTTTGGCCATTCGGCGTCGGCATCCACTTCATACCAGTAGTCTGTGTGTTTGAGCTTATTCCATGGATCGTACTCGAACCCAATGGCTGCACATGGGGACCATTTGGCGTGTTCCTTTGAGATACCCTTCTTTGCAATACAACGTACCTTCAACTGTTGGTCTTGTCTCAGTCTACAGATCAGAACACCATTGTGTGCTTGGTCAACAATGATAGGCGTACCAATGTTCAAGTTTTGATTGGAACTGACAATGTTCAAGTCCTTGGAATACACCGATAGCGTTTCTTCTTCGGCACGCACGTCCAAGCTCAGTTCAACAGAACAACGGTTGCAATAGTCGTCACAGGTGCAGTCCCTGGAGTACTCCAACTTATCAACATCGAGACTCTGTAAGGGTATAAGACCCAGTCTATGTGCTATGAATTCATCGGCCAACACCGAGGAGTTGAGCTCAATCTCAACGCTATCGATGGCCAATGTTGGGATCTCTGCAATCATTGTTCTTCTCAACGAGTTCGCAAGCGCAAGATCAACATCTGCTAATACGAAGTCAACGGAGTCTTCATCTATATGTCTAATGGTGATCTTTGGTTCTGTCATTTGTCCCGTGGTCTCTGGTGTTAGTCCCTTTCCTGCGAGCCAGAGGGTCTGATGTCGTGAAACGTAATGTTTTGTTTTTAATTTGTCTCGAGAAAAATTGTCCACATTTTTTTCTTGGAGAACTTGTCCGAAACGCTCAGCACCGCGAAATAATGATGGAATATATCTCATTCACCCCAATAGCCGCTGATTACCAAGGACAAGGGACGGCCCAAAGACGAAGTACAACGGTAACACACAAGACATGTCCAAGATCCCGATTCCTGATTTACGGTTTGAGTCCTCATTCAGAAAGTCTCTGAACACCGAGTACTCTAAGGCTGGCATCAATGCATCCACAGAGTCCGTGGACCGCTATACAAACGCAATGGTGATCACAAAAGTCATAATGAGGGACTTGATCTTCATGCCACTCATACAAGGCTTCATATTTTCATCGCTAATGATACTGGCTAGACCATGGCTGGTCAAAGTCGCACGCAATGGAAGACAATTTGGTGTTGCGTTCTTCCAATCCTTAGGGCTTAGACCCAAACCCTTAGCCTGAGACTATGTATTAGTCCTGCCGACACGCCCAGTACATGTCTACACCTTTTGTTGATGAATTTTATAATGGATACGTTTTTACATTTCAAGACCAATCGGCACGACGGTTGTAGTTCCCATTGGCGTTACCACGGCCCCTACCTCTGTATCTATGGCCGTTGTTGTAGCCTCTCTGCGGTCTCTGTTCAGTGGCACTGTTTGATATGTTGTCGAAAAACGACTTCTTCTTATCATAAGCAGGCGCCTCATCGGGATCAGCCTGAGGTCTTTGTAGGTCATTATCTGTGCCTTCACTACTAGGTTGTGTTTGTCTGATATCAGCCTTGGAGAAGTCAAAATTGGCATCTGGCACTGCGCCGCTAAAGGCATCCGACTGTTTCACGCGTCTTGGTGGCGGTCTTCTTGGTGGGATCTCGATGTCTGATCCATCGTGCAATGTCTTTGATTCCTCTTCCCTCTTTGGTTCTTCAGTTTCTTGTTTTGGTTCATCTTCCAGCACGCTCAGGTCCTGGACATCACTGCCTCTAAACACCACAACAGGGTACACTTCTTCGCTTGGTGGTATTTCCTTTGACGGGTCGCCGAGTCTTCCCTCTGTTCCAAACGGTCTGACGTTCTTCAAAGTGACAGTGGCTTCTTCACCGTTCACATCGGCGAGAACTCCAACATAGCTTAATCATACAGAGTTAGTAGCAGACCGATGAAGCTTTAGAAGGGAAGCAAGTAACCTACCGGATTCCCTTTGAGGTGATCAGAGAGATGGTTCTTCCAATGTACTGGGACATCCTTTTATGGTCTAGTTTTTGGCGGTTTAGAGAAAGAGTAGACTCGATGACGTTGGTGGAGGAGGTCCTAGTCTCTTTTGTCCTTGTCCATTTTCACGTTGTAATATGATCACATTGATGGTCGCGAAATTTCCCCATTACGTTTCAGGACATGGCGGACAGGGAAAATTTTGTGAGTGTGATGAGATGAGCTTTTCGAAGCTCTCAAGAGGAAGAAGAAGGGGGTAGAGGAACCAGGCTGAAGTGGGACTGAACACCATGATGGATTACGCAAAGCAGATGGAGGCTCAGCGAAGAGCTTTTGAAGCACAGTTCGGCTCGCTAGAGGAAATGGGGTTTGAAGACAAGACAAAAGCTGTTGAAGAGAGCGAAAGCGATGCTGATGGTGTTTCTGATAGTAATGATGAGAACGAGAATGCCAGTGACGAAGATGAGGATGAGTTTCACGAGGATATGATTGACAGAGTGGATGATGAACAATCAGATAGTGATTATGAGGAGGAGATTGCTATACAGACGCCTCAACCCACGGTGATCAAGTTTAGAGACACGACGAGGGAATATACAGGTGTTAGCAAAGAGGATCAAAAATTGCTGAAATCAGGGAAGGCTACGATAAAGAAGAAGGCACCAATCACAACAAATACACCAAAGACAAAGGAAGATACCGAGGACTTGAAAAATGACTTGGAACTACAGAGATTTCTATCGGAGTCCAATATCTTGCAACAGCACCAAAAGTATTCAGGTGCAGATTTACTCTCTACAACGTTGGAAGGCACAGGAACAGATTCACTCGTTGGTAAAGTGAGAAGGCACGCTCTCAAATCAAGAATTGACGGTCTCAGTGAACAAACCAGCCATGGTAAGAATAGATCCAAATTGGAAAAGATGCCGATGTCCATGCGCAAAGGTATGGTTGAATCCTACAAGAAGAAAGTTGCCAAATTCGAGCAAGAAGCCAAAGACGGAGGGATTATTCTTGCAAAAGTGTCCAAGGGACAACTCAGAGATATTGGCAAGAAAGTCACTATACATGAGCGTATTGGTAAGCTGGATAAGTCTAAGCTGAAGAGCCAATACAGAAAGAAAGGTCTGAAGATCAACAGTGTCGGAAGAAACACCAGAAACGGGTTAATTATTAGCCAAAAGGACATTGACCGTATCAACGGTACTGGCCAAACCAAAGGAAAGAAACACGGAAAGAGACGTTGAATGTGATGATGCTGTGCACTTTCCAGCTCTCAACTCACTAATGACATCACCAAAATTGACCAATATATTGGTGGTGGATGTGTTATGTAATTTTACACGGTGCTCAGTGATAGGATCCTAACATTCGGTATACATCCTGTTTTACACCAGCTGTACATACATCTGAAGAGCTGATGAGCATCACAAGGGACCTAATTCATAAAAGTACGAGATTTTAGAACTTGCCAACCACTCTTCTGTAAAGGCTGTACAAATAGGATGTATTTCTGGCCTAGTTTGCTTCCAAATAGTTCAAGCCATGACTTGTATAAGCGCATAGACATGGAAAGCCAAGTGTTATGTGTCAGTATGCACAGCCGGTATTAGGTGCTTATCAACCTACACTCCAGTTTCTACACACTACGCAGTACACATAGACGACAACAACGACTCAGACCGTTACTGAGTACCTCTGGAGATGCCGTATGGCGTGGTGAAACACACAGCAGCTGGCTTACTTGTCTGAGCCATGACGACGAGCTATAGGCTGCCTTCAGTTTATGTCGATTCCCAACGGTTATGCATGAAATGCCTTAGATGCGCTTTAGCACCTTATCCTTGAACTCGTCGCTCATCTGTTCAAGCCCTCATACCGTCTGTCCTTCCGTTTTGTAGAGATATGTATAACCACAGGCAAAACCACATACGTATAGGCCTTGTGTGAGACTTTTGTCAATTGTGCACACGACCTTATACATCCACTTGCCTGGTTGATGTTACCGGTTGGCGACGCAAGCACTTGCACGTATGTACGCGTGTGTTCGCTACAGCGCTGTTCATAAGAAGCGCAGACTTCCCACACACAACCAATCGAGGGAGTCAGGCTTGACTCTGCGTGGTGCTTTGTGAAGAGGAAACGTCGTGTGACCTACAGGTAGCTGTTCGAAGGCGTTGTGGTGCCCCATGGCCCATTTTGCCAATCTGTTAAGAGAAAAAAGCCGTTGGACAGGAATGCGTCTCGGGACAAACGTTGTATGTAGGAGGAGCTGCACGGTGAAGATCTGAAACCATCCGCAAATTGTGTTGTTTGAAGCTGATGTGAAGAGCACACCAGTGTGATTCATCAACGGGCCATTGCAGTTGTGCAATGTAGGATTTGGCAACTGTCAATCAGCCGTCAAATATTTGCTTGTGTGTGTGTGTGTGTCACATCTCGCCATGCTGCTTGGCTGGAGATGTATACAGTCAGAGTGTGATGCAGTCCAAGCTGTGAAACGGCTCATATCCATCAAACCAGCTGTGCACATCTCTCACAGGCGAAGAGGACGAGAGAGCGTGTGTGTGTGTGTGTGTGCACATGCATAGTCCCTAGAGACCGAGGACAGGGCAGAAAGCTTAGACGAGTTTGTTATGGTGATTCCCATGGCGTCTTAGGGGACTTTTGTACAGTTCTCCATCCGCAACAAAGAAGCACCGTTGTTAGCCCATGTCCCACAGGCTGAGACTCGCATTGTATATAATTACAAGCAGACAGAATACAAATGTCCGGACATGGCTAAGGTCTAGGTCATGTCCACGGAATAGCCCACCTTAGTCACATGGTGTTTCTCCTCGCTCGCTGGAGCACACAGCGTCCCAAGGGCCCACCTCGCCCTCTGCTGATCTGCCATCACCTCTCCCTCCACCAGCCGGAAGCGCTCCACCCTCAAGCGACCACACACTTGTCCCTCATAGGACTTTGGCTATGCGACCAGCGTGCGCGTGCGCGCACTGGTCCAAGTGCGCAGGCCCACGTGGGCCCTCGCTCTTTCCCCAAAATGGCAACCGGGTTTAGCCTGTCAGCTCAGACTACAACGACGATCTCATTGGAGCACCGCTTCACTCCAACCCAGTCGCATCCGTACAAAGCCTCAATTGGACATTCATCATACAAGTCGGACGTTTCATTTCGTTTCATTTCTTTTTTTTTTTTACTCTACCTCTCTCTTTGCTGATTCGCTACGCCGGTGAATGATCAGTTGGTGTTGATCTCCGGCGACCAGCCTGTGAGGGTGCGATTAGCCCATTTCCTCTTTTGTCCCTGGCTTCCCTTTCGCTTGCTGCCTACAACCGCGCTCTCTCCCTCTGCCTAATTACGAAATCCTGCCTACCATCCTCCTGCCCCCAGCCGGGTGTTTCCCTTCTGGCTCGTTTTTCATTTCCCACTGGGCCTGCACTTTGGACCGATCTCAAATTACCGGGTTACCTGTTTCGACGTGCTGCCCTCCTCTCTCCCTCCCTCCCCTGTGTAGGCACATACGTACGTGCGTACGTACGTAGCTGTGTGTATATACATGTGTGTGTCTCTACATTGTAAATATTGCAAATAATTAACAGACAGATCCTCTTTATTGGAAACGTCCCCCCAAATTCGCTCCCTCTCTCTTTTTCACTCTTGTCTTCCCACCTTATAAATTTTCACTTTCTCTTTGGTATACACCACTACGCCTACAACGCTCTGGAATATTGGCATCGCTATACCTACAACCCCGTCTCCACCTCGTTGTTGTTATTATTAGTCGTTGCTTTCTCTCTTTCTTTGGCATAGAACGACCGTCGGAGTGTACTTTTCTGCGTATCCACTCAACGGCATTCATTACTGAGCATCCAGCGAAAGGAGAAGACACTACTTTTCACCTCCTGTCCCTCCTGCTTACGAAAACGGGCTGTGATCGATCCGTCCAATTATCGTCACAAGAGTGCTACTGAAGGACTTTTCCCCCCTCCCCTTTGGCCAGGCAGCAAGCGATTCTTTCCAACGGGCTTACTGAGAACACTCTCGCTAGGCGCTGAAAGGTTTTAGAAGGAGGAGCCCACTGAAGAACTTCACCAGCAGAGAGAGCCCCTGTCCTGAGAGCTCCGTCCACAAGGAAAAAGGCATTTCTGTCCAGGCTCGGTTCGCCTTCACTACAGTTGAGTCTTTTCATCACAACAGCTTAGCAACTCCCTTGCAGGTGACGAGTAGTTGAGAATAAGACACAGATAACCACACCCTGGTTGCAAACTACACATGGACTCAAATTGGATGTTTGAGCATGGCTCTCATCACAGCACCGTGATGGAGTCTCCCCACATGGAAGGATGGGTACAGCAACAGCAGCAACAGCAGCAGCATGCTTCTTCGATGTCGCCTATGCACCAGCAAGTCCATCTAAATCAACAACAACAGAAATGTTCACAATCACAGGGAGGGTCGAACTACAACTCCCCCTCTATGAACATCATGAGTCCCGCATTCAACAACACTGCTTCGAACCACCACACCCCAATAAACGATGGCTCTGTGGGACAAATCGAACACAGCAACGGCGTGGACGGTGATCATACGCCAGGGAACACACACTTTAGTGATTACCTCAACGGAGATTTGGATGATGGTTCCCACCATTTTGCCATGATGGACGAGCCGTCAACGGCCAAGGATGATTGGACCGACATTGCAAACTTGCACGAGTTGAACGATATCGATATGAACTTCTTCCCTGATGATCTCGCCACTCAGCAGCAGCAGATCAATGGATCAAAGACCAAGCATGAGTCCATCCCGATCCATGAGAAGGTCAGTGACCATGTACCGCCAACGCCAACGAGCTTTGAAGTAGCGTCATATGCTAACCCACATTTCATGGAGTCGTTTGATTCTCCAATGCTGGATCATCAGGGGAGTGCGTCTATTAGAACAGATGTCGTGTTCACACCTTTGGTGTCACCAGCAGTGACGCCCATGGATTCGATTATGAACAACAATCAGAATAAACAGGTTGGCTTCTTTTCTCCCTTGACATCTCCTGCTTTGGAGGCCAAATCTCCAAGGAGGTTGAAGAAGACATCAAGTAATGACGAACAGCAACAGTCACAGTCACAACAGAAGAAGAAATATACAAAGAGGAAGACACCAGGCTCAACTCCGATTGTCGGTCCAACCATTCCTGGAAGAATAGCTAAACAGTCGCCTATCATCAAGGCACGTCGTTCGACAAGCTACACATCTGCCTTGACTCAGAAACAACAACAACAGCAGCAGCAGCAGCAACAACATCAACAACAACATCAACAGCAGCAAGCACAGCAACAGCAACAGCAAATACAACAACAGCAAGTACAACAGGAGTTTTTACCACCTTCTGAGAAGTCAATGGCTCCACCAAAGAGCAGAAATAGAACAAAATCTGGCTCCCAACCTGCGACACCTGCAACGTTGATGAACTTCAAACTTGAGAAGAATGGAACTTCGAGGTCACCCGTAATTTTACCCTCCAACGGCAACACTACACATGCCTCTGCGACTCCAACTGCAAACACTTCGAGAAGCTCCTCCACTTCAACGATAAAGCAAACCCAACAGGTGGTTGCGCCTACTAGTTCGACTCGTACCGGCTCCGAAGAAGAAGATACAGTACTGAACCCGGGACAGGGTGGTGACGGAGGCTCCACAGGTGGTGATTCAAATTCGAAAAAGGCATCGCATAAACTTGCCGAACAAGGTCGTCGTAACAGAATGAACCAGGCCATCATTGATCTGGGCTCTCTAATTCCTGAATCTCTACAAGCTACTGTTGCCATACCGAGTAAGGCAACTACGGTGGAACTGGCAAGTGAATACATCAAGTCTCTGATTGGTGAAATTGACATGCTAAGGGAACGAATCAAGTCACAGGGCAGTGACATCATGAGTAACGACAGTATATCTCCCTTGGAGACTACTCAACATTCAAGTTAGCACCATTCAGATCTTTCCTCCCATGTCCCCATTCCTCTCTTTAGATGAGAGATGACAACGAACAAAGCCACACCGTTAATATACAAACAGAGAAGAAGTACAAGATAAACAGAAGGGTGTGATCTTTCGTTTCAACTGTTTTTTATGATATATGTTTCTTTTATACCATCGTTACGCACACTGATATATAGTTTTCCTTTGAAAAGAACAAGAAGTGCTCCTAATCAATTGCTCTACTGTGTAACCGAAGTGCTACAACAGTACAATGCATTGTCTCGTGTAAATATCTTGCCTCCATGGCCAAATTATGTCTTTATACCATTTAAAGCGTATAACAATTTGCACGGTTACCCTGGACACCGTTGTTGTGGAAACAACATCCGAACACCACACTATGCTCCCACGCGGACGCACTGAAAATTTTTCCAACAAGCTGAAAAAGCTTTTTTTTTTCACACTTTCTCTTCTTCCAACCTGAATAGTTCAAAACAACAATCACAGAATTGAATAAAACTAACAATGGCTGTAAGTTGCTTGGTTTGAATCACCTTCATTAAGACATTATGGAGCTCCTTGAAATACACAGTTCTTACCTGTGGAGAAATAATAGGAGTGTTGACGATGTCACTTATATGGGAGTCTTTGCTTCCTCTGTCCGTATGAGAAGTATGGGCATGGAGTGGGGCTCTCGAATCTCTAATAGATGGAGCTTGCCTTGTGAATCGGCCAAACCATGAGACATCCGCCGTTAATGGTGATGTTGCTGACGGTTATCGATGCACGCCTATAGGCTCTCCCGCTCATTACTAGAGTTTCACGCTCTTTTAGGAGCAAACATCAGATATCACTACTCTTTTCCGTATTATGATCCAAACAGGCTGTTTACCTCCTTCTGTATTGAAGGAGTTACTAGAGATTATGTTATTTCATTGGAGAAATTTAAGATGTTCGCATTCTTGTTTTCGATTCCAATAAATACTAACTCCATGACCCTTATAACAGCCATCAAAGAAAGTTGCTCCATCCCCATTCGCCTCCAAGGGTGCTTCCAAGTCTAAGGCCCCAAAGAACCCATTGGCTGAGGCTAAGCCATTGAAGTTCGGTATCGGTCAAGCTATCCAACCAAAGAGAAACTTGTCCAGATTCGTCAAGTGGCCAGAGTACGTTCGTCTCCAAAGACAAAGAAAGGTTTTGTCCTTGAGATTGAAGGTTCCACCAGCTATTGCCCAATTCCAACACACTTTGGACAGAAACACCGCTGCTGAGGCTTTCAAGTTGTTCAACAAGTACAGACCAGAGACCAAGGCTGAGAAGAAGGAGCGTTTGACCAAGGAGGCTGCTGCCATCGCTGAAGGTAAGACCAGACAAGAGGCCTCCGAGAAGCCATACCTTGTCAAGTTTGGTTTGAACCACGTTGTCTCCTTGATTGAGAACAAGAAGGCTAAGCTCGTGTTGATTGCCAACGATGTCGACCCAATTGAGTTGGTGATCTTCTTGCCAGCTTTGTGCCGTAAGATGGGTGTTCCATACGCCATCATCAAGGGCAAGGCCCGTTTGGGAACCCTGGTTCACCAGAAGACCTCTGCTGTTGCTGCCTTGACCGAGGTTAGAGCTGAAGACGAGTCTGCTCTTGCCACTCTGGTCTCCACCATCAACTCCAACTTCGCCGAGAAGTACGAGGAGAACAGAAAGCACTGGGGTGGTGGTATCTTGGGTGCTAAGTCCCAAGCCAAGGCCGACAAGAAGGCTAAGTACGCTGCTGCTGCCGAGAAGAAGTGATGCTTCGCAACGGGCTTTGTATATGGATATGTATATTAGGTGGGTATAACGATAATACGCAAAAGGGTTTTAATTCTGATGAAAATGTGTCGTAGATGAACTCGCTGTGGATACTACCATAGTAATAATATCACTCGGGCAACGTAAATACTTTCGTTGCTGTGGTTGAAAATTAACGTTGCCGTAGTTATCAGGTAACCGTAGTGAAGATGAAAATTCGCGAAACGCTGCTCTGTGCTTCTTTTCTCCTCTGACGTTTTCTGGCCAATTGGAGCGCTGGGAATGAAGTTGACGTCTTTGGCGCGGGAAAACACAATTTAGCTGGGAGAAATTTACTACGGTGGTGTGTCCCTTTTCTGGTGAGGAAATCTCGGTGTGAGCAGCGGTTTTGCGAAATTTTGTGCAAGAGGAGTGAAAACAACCTTCCATTACACTTTACACGGAACACAACCACTTTTTAAAAGACACCAACAATGCTTGCCACACTTGCTGAAGCCCTTGAAGAGTTGAAGGAGGCCTTTGTGCCAACTGTTGCTAAGGCTGAGACTGAAGAGGAGGAGGAAGAAGAAGAAGAGGAGGAAGAAGAGGATGAGGATGAGGACGAGGAGGAAGGTTCTGCTGACCCATTGGACAAGCTGAGAGACGAGTGTGCCACTCTTCCAGCTATCAAGCCATACGTCCATCACTATGCCGAGTGTGTTGAGAGAGTGACAAAGGCTCAGGAGTCTGATGACTACGACCAACTCGAGTACAAGGAGGACTGTGTTGAGGAGTTCTTCCACTTGCAACACCACATTAACGACTGTGTTCAACCAAGACTCTTTGCAAAGTTGAAATAAGCACCACATTGTCAGTTTTATTGCTTCAAGTATTTGCATTTCTGTTAACATTCTCTTTTTTTACTTCCCCTAAAACAAACAACACAAGACAATTTACTTATAACTCTTTCTTTTTGAACAATGGTGGAAAGGATGTCACTTTTCCTCATGGCCGGGGCGCATGGATTATACAACCACTTCAATGGTCCTAGCTAATGAATTGTGGTGTGTGTTGTACATGACACATATTGCAGAGGTGATTCTTTCCGTCCATTAGAAAAAAATACAGACAAATAGCGTTCCAACAATGTACATATTCGGGTTTGAACTCGTTTGATGGTTTCAATATCAGAATGAGAATTTGGATCTACACTAACGCTGGACTCGTTGTTTATAAAATTGTTTAGAAAGGTTTTCACATTGAGTATGTGTAATCAGTTATAAGTCTCATAACCTATGATTTTGAAAGAAAACCGTGGGGAGTGGTGTAGTTTGTGTAGATGTTTACCTTGAAGGTGTTTTTGAGCCGCTGTGCCTTGTGGTTCTCCGATAAAGTGTTGATCCAGACAAGCCCTATTTCGTGGAATGAGACGTCTCACGTGATGTTGTAAAACCCTAATGTTCATTTTGAAAGTCACAAATTCATCCAGACACACAATGGTGTTTTTTCTGAGACGCAAACAACAGCGGTGAAAAATTCGCGAGGAATGTCGCCGGTACGGCCACATGTCGTAGTTAGCGTCCAGAGGTGGGAAAAAGAACAAAAGTTAACGAACGCTTCACACTGTTAAATGTTGAATTGAAAGGATCATATCCAACTTTGAGCAAGTAAGTGTTGATCAAGAGAGGCAAAGCGTGATATGTTTGAAACGGAGAGGACGTAGGAAATGTGTTATTGAGCTCTGTAAAGAGGTAGCGGCATATGAAGAGTACATGGAGGAAGGAGCTAAAGTGGGAGGAACTTTTCAATAGAGCTAATCTTACACTGTGTTATAGAAGCAAAGGTCTCTACATGATAATGAATCAAGTCTCAGATGAGGATTCTGAATTCTGAGAGGTTGGATATTTCAAAATGCTACGTCCTTCTCAAACTACATCCCTCGCTAAGGTTGAGTTACACATATACTAACAGACGTGAACAGCAATGGCTAAGTCAAAAAACCACACAGCACACAACCAAACTAGAAAGGCTCACCGTAACGGTATCAAGAAGCCACAAACCCACAAGTACCCATCCTTGAAGGGTGTTGACCCAAAGTTCCGTCGTAACCACAGACACGCTCTTCACGGTACCGCCAAGGCTTTGGCTGCTGCTCGTGCTGAGAAGAAGTAAATTCATTGAGCATTGATATGGTATGAATTGGTTTCTTTTTAAGTGTTTTTTCTACAGTTGTTATGTTGGAGGAGGTGTGTGATGAGTCAGGGGGAATGGAGTTATCACTCTGTTATTTCAACGGAGAAGGTAGCTTTAATCCCTTGGGCTCATCTTCAGAGCTAATACATTGATGCAATCTTGTTAAACGGTGAAGCTCTAGTGTATATCATAATGGTTTTAAAGAACAAGGATAAAATCGATCTTTTGTTAGCGGAACATTCACCCTGGTGTAGAGATGTTTTCTTTCCCTCCTTTTGGCGCTTGTGTTTACATTTTGGTTTTTGTTGATTGTTGTTTTTGTGTCACGGCGGCTAATGGAGGGGGCGTATAAATAGCGATGTGTAGATGTTAGTGTTGGTGTTTCATTGTTTACATGGATATCCCACCCGCCAGTTTGAGAAGTTGATCTATTAACAAGTTCAAGATGCCTGACGAACCCACCGAAGAGAAGTCCGCACAAGCTGTAGAGGTCAATGATTCGAGACTTTACATTAGCAATGTCAGTTACCACACGACAGAGTCCGATCTTTCGGAGTTGGTTAAGAGCTTTAAAGTGTAAAATAGATACGTCCAGTCCCCCACATTTGGTATGCTCTTATCAAAGCGGTTCTTGTGTACTAACAAAAGTGCCAACAGCAATTCCATCTTAGTTCCTAGTCATACCGTTAGAGGGTTCCACTCTTACAAACAGAGATCATTGGGGATCGCCTATATCGATTTTGAGAATGGGGAAGAGGCGTCAATTGCTATGGAGTTACTCAATGGTTTGGATTTGAACGGACGACCACTTAGGGCGAAGAAGTTCATCCTGTACAGCCCTGGTATTAAACGAGTGAATTCTAAGCCAAAAGGTCGTGATAAGCGATCCAAAGCTAAAAGCATTGTACTCTCTTCGCTTGATGAAGAAGATTTGAATGAGAAGGAAAAAGTTATAAACACACCGAATACTGGAGATGCTAACAACGAGGATAGATCTAACGGGTCAAGCTCCAGAAAAAAATCAAAACCCGTATCTGACACTACAGTGTACATTGGCCGACTCTCTTCCAAAATTACAGATGGTGATCTTCGTGAGTACTTTCACGATTACGTACCAACTGAAGTTTATATCTTCAAGACCCGTTCGCCAAAGCATCATAGATCTTTGTTCGGGGCGTCTAACTCAGCTTTGATCACGTTAAGCGTAGATCATTCCGTGACAAAGGCATTGGAGGAGTTGAAAGATGTCAAATTGAAAGGTAAGCGTGTTTATTTACAGCACGCTTATATTTCAAAGATTGAAGAGGTTAAAAATGCTGTACGTGCAAAAGCCCTGAGGTGGGATCTAGAGAACTCTTCACCAACAGATGATGGTGCTCAAGAGGCTGCTCAAGAGGCTGCTCAAGAGGTTGCTCAAGAGGTTCCTCAAGAGTGAGAATCCCTAACCTCTATGTTTCTTAGTATTCACAATGAAAACACCCAAGAATAGCTAACACTGAAATGAATACTTCAACCAGCTCTTTCCTGCATTTCTTTATAGCTTTGAACAATCAACGTTTATCAACATGAAAGGTGATTGTATGACACTGATGCACGTTGAAGCTTCCTGATTAAACCTGACACAAACAACAGATCTGCACGTACCAGACGTGCCCTGAAGGGGAAGAACCCGTGCTGAGATTTACCCGTGTGCTTGAAATTTTCACTACTATTATGGTGGTGTAGGGATGTTACTTGGAAACTTGAGAAAAAAGCAGTCCCAAAAACTCGAAAAAAGAGTCGCGGACTCAGCGTCTGTTGCGTGGGCTCTCGGTGTGTGCCTGTGGAAAATTGAAAAAGTGTTTAAACCATCAAACCCACTCACAACTGAAGAAGAGGAAATCACCAAGCAAGACTATCAACAATGGGTATGTGAATTCGTATGAGACGTAGAGAAGAGCAAGAGAGAAGATAAGAGCAGAAGAGGATCAGTCTAAAGGTTATGATCATGTGTGTGGTTGTTTCCTAAGGAACAGCATAGCAAGACATTTATGTTTTATGAAAGATTTTCTTTTAGTTCTTGAAGTTATGGGGATGATCAAGTTAATGGAGCAGGTCATCGAGCATGATCAGGACAGTATAGAGGGAATACTCCAGGCTTGTGGAGACTCATCAACTGTTTTGCCTGCGCATCCACACCTCTGTCTTTTTTTCACCATCAGATCTCACGCTACTACTACTACTATAGTGCGATTATTGAAGTACTAACAAAGATTTCTACAGGTAGAGTTATTCGTAACCAAAGAAAGGGTGCTGGTTCTATCTTCGTCTCTCACACCAGATTGAGACAAGGTGCTGCTAAGCTCAGAACCTTGGATTATGCTGAGCGTCACGGTTACATCCGTGGTGTTGTCAAGCAAATTGTCCACGATGCTGGTCGTGGTGCTCCATTGGCCAAGGTTGTCTTCCGTGACCCATACAAATACAAATTGCGTGAGGAGACCTTCATCGCCAACGAAGGTGTCTACACTGGTCAATTCATTTACGCCGGTAAGAAGGCCTCTTTGAACGTTGGTAACATCTTGCCATTGGGTTCCGTCCCAGAAGGTACCATCGTTTCTAACGTTGAGGAGAAGCCAGGTGACAGAGGTGCTTTGGGTAGAACCTCTGGTAACTACGTCATTGTCATTGGTCACAACCCAGATGAGAACAAGACCAGAGTGAAATTGCCATCTGGTGCTAAGAAGGTGTTGTCCTCCGATGCCAGAGGTGTCATTGGTGTTGTTGCCGGTGGTGGTCGTGTTGACAAGCCATTGTTGAAGGCTGGTCGTGCTTTCCACAAGTACAGAGTTAAGAGAAACTCTTGGCCAAAGACTCGTGGTGTTGCCATGAACCCAGTTGATCACCCTCACGGTGGTGGTAACCATCAACATATTGGTAAGGCCTCTACCATCTCTAGAGGTGCTGTTCCAGGTCAAAAGGCTGGTTTGATCGCCGCCAGAAGAACTGGTTTGTTGCGTGGTACCCAAAAGACCCAAGACTAAGTTATGTCTTGACATGTTTTGTTAGTTTAATGAAAGATATCATCAAGTTTAAGGGTTTTTATGTGCTAGTTTTGAAAAATCATAATGTACGGTAGTCATTTTTAGAAGGAGATTAAGCCGTAGAGATTGATGACGAATACCCTCGTTGCAGTTATTTTATGTACATTTAGACTTCTTCAACCTCATCATCAACAGGCAGGGAGATGTGGTTACGAATACCTGGGACGAAGCTCAACGCGAGGTGAATCTTGTTACCAACGTACAGCGTTGCAACCAGCAGCAAGATGTTGAAACCAGCAAGGATGATGAACGGTGCTCCCATCCAGTAGTCAGCTGAGAATCCTCCAACCTTTGAGATCAGAAGGATACCCATACCACCGCATAAACTGTACACACCTGAAATGGCACCGTTATGAGCACGGTGCTCATCAGTACACAGTGACATTGAAGTGATGATGTGACCAATCTGTGCAGCTCCAAAGAAGCAGACCATCACAATTGCAGCTACACTTCTTGGGTTAGAGGCGAATGCAAGGCCAAACGATGAGATGATACCGAACACAGTGGTGAGGATCATGGAGTTCTTGCGTCCAAACTTATCACAGATGTATCCATATACCGGGGCCAAGATCAATGCCACAGTGTGTGTGATACCCGTTAGGATGGCAGCCTGTATATAAGCCTCTCTACAGTGCTCACCGTTACCAACAGAGCAAATTCCCTTCTTGTAGTAGTACTTGTTGACGTACAATGGGATGAACACCGACGTGGCAACCGTTGTGGAGCGAGCAAGGAACCCACCAAAGTACGCAAGAGCAATCTTCTTGTTTCTTGCCTCTGCGAACCCCAATTGTAGCAACTGGAAGTATCCCTTCTCCTCATCCTCTCTGGCAAGTGCCTGTTCTTCCTCTTCCAATGCCTCAAGGACATCATCGTACGGGGTCAGGTATTTGGATAACAATGGCACTCTGAACTTCTTCTTCGAGAACAGGCCATATGCCAGTGCTGCAGAAGAGAATACAGCAACGACACCGACAATCACGTAGGAGTGTTTCAGGGCCTGTTTTGGGGGCTCAATGTTACCCAGCTTTGCTGGCAGAGGTAGATATACGCCTACTGAGAACACTGCACCCAATCCAGTAGCAATTCCAATAACAGAGGTCAACTTACCGTTTCTCTTCGAAGCTGGGTCGTCAGCAAAGTCATTATGTTGGTTGGGGGTTTCTTCAGCTTCACCACCACCTTGCTCCAAGATCTGGACAGGAGTCTTCCACTGGAACAAGGACTTCAGATCGAACCCAGAAGAGCTCAGCTCGGCAAGCATCGCAGTCATCATGGAGGCAGCAGCGGTGGCTGCGAATGCAAAGAACAATCTCAAGATGAGGAGGTCTGGGTAGACAGTCTTAGCCAGAGTGTACAGCATCAGAGAGATACCAATGGCAAACACACCGGCAGAGGAGATGTATTTGGCCCCAACTTTATCACTCAGGGCACCCAGGAATGGACTCACGGCCATTGAGACCAATTCATCCGCAACACCCAAGGTGCCGATATAATCCCCAATCTTGTCAGTGACACCAAGGACATCAGTGAGGAAGAAGGGTTGCGTTGACGTGAGAAACACAACGAACGAGATGGTGGAGAAGCATGCAAACGCAAATGCCAGAAAGTTCAGTCTCGTGTACTTTGGCGCAGATGGCATCGTTATAGTGCTCAGTTAATTCTGCGTAACAAGACTCGCCGCTGTTGGTGCAAAAGACTTAAACGTTGAAGAGTCAAAGGGGAAAGGATCTTTTCAAATTGTCCCAATTTCCCGAGCCGCAATGCCTGATGTAATTACCTATCTCCAATGGGGCAGAAGAGAGGTTACAGGAGCCCAGATGCACTTCATTTGCTTAATTTTGACACCCCAGAAGCCCTGTTAAACCACCGTGCAAAGGGTACATCGTATCGGAGAACGCAACGGGTAAAATCGATAAGGCCGAAAAAGCCGATGGTGCTGCGCCTACCATGCGTCGTGGCCGTAACACTTGTGGAACCCTGTTGTCGTGGAAACGCAAACACCTTCATCTGTTGTTGTGTTGTTTCTGCTTAACATCCAAACACCCACACAAAGACGCGTGTTTGTTGCTTCCCAAACAACCCATTTTTGTAGCTCGAGAGAAAAATAAACAAATAAACAAACAAACAAACAAAGCAGTGTCGTTAGCCGCCACGAGAGAACCACAACTTCACAACCAAACATGCACGTTGAAGAACTCATCATCGATGGCTTCAAGTCGTACGCGACGAGAACTGTCATTTCCGGGTGGGATCCGCAGTTCAACTCCATCACTGGGTTAAACGGTTCCGGTAAATCGAACATTCTTGACGCCATCTGCTTCGTGCTTGGTATCTCGTCGATGGCTACTGTGAGGGCGTCGAACTTGCAAGACTTGATCTACAAGAGAGGACAGGCAGGTGTGACGAAGGCGAGTGTCACCATTGTTTTCGACAACACTGATGCGTCCAAGTCGCCCATCGGGTTTGAGACGGTTCCTAAGATCTCTGTGACCAGACAGATCGTTCTAGGCGGTACCAGCAAATACCTGATCAACGGCCATAGAGCACAGCAGCAAGCTGTGCTGCACTTGTTCCAGTCTGTTCAGTTGAACATCAATAACCCGAACTTTTTGATTATGCAAGGAAAGATCACAAAGGTGTTGAACATGAAGCCTGCGGAGATCTTGTCGTTGATTGAAGAGGCTGCTGGCACAAAGATGTTCGAGGATCGTAAGGACAAGGCTGAAAAGACCATGGCGAAGAAGGAGACTAAGCTTCAAGAGATCCGAGCACTCTTGGCGGAGGAGATTGAGCCAAAGTTGGACAAGTTGAGGAATGAAAAGAGAACTTTCCTCGAGTTTCAACAAACGCAGTCAGACTTGGAGAAACTCTCGCGTGTGGTGAACGCGCACGATTTTGCCAAGTTGTCAAAACGTCACCATGGACTAAAGCAACAATTCGATTCGCAACTCACCTCTTTGAAAAACGGTGATAATGAGATTGCTAGGTTGGAGAATGAAATAGCACATTTGACTGAGGATTTGGACAAGATCAAAGAGGAGAGGGAGAAATATGCAACCAAGGGTAACAAGTTGAAAGAGTTGGAAAAGAAGTATTCTGAGCTGTCAAAATCCCTTGCCAGACTAAACACTTCCAAGGGACTCAACATTGAAAGTTTGAGCGATGAGGAAAATAGAAAGGCGAATATCGTTGAACAGATCAAGAAGTTTGAAGCTGATTTGGACCGCAATAAATCACGTCATAAGAAACTCGAGGAAGAGTACAACGCTAAAAAATCCGAGCTTGATGACCTCAAATCAAAATTCTCTAAGAAGGAAGAGTTGCTTTCAACTTTAACTACAGGTATCTCTTCGAAGGGCCAATCTGGAGGTGGTTATTCTGCACATCTTCAGGAGGAGAAGCAAAAATTGTCAAATACCAACGTGTCCATTGAACAGTTGAAACTTAAGTTAAACCACTTACAAGCTGAAAACAAATCCAATGAGCCAAAACTGACAGAGGCCAAACGTGAGTATGAAGTGCTCGTCCAAAAACTCGAGTCGCTTAAATCGAAGAGAGAAAGTTTAGAACAGAAGTTACAAAGCTTGGGTTTTGATCCTCAAAGACAAAGGGAATTGAAAGAGCGTGAAACGCAAATTAACAGGGAGTTACACAAGATTACAGGCGATGTGAATTTCCTCAAGAGAAAGGTTGCAAATTTGGAGTTTACATACTCTAAACCAAGTGCGAACTTTAACGATTCATCTGTTAAAGGTGTTGTGGCACAATTATTCCGTATAGATGAAAACAACATGGAATATTCCACTGCGTTGGAAGTTGCTGCTGGTGGTAGACTATACAACGTTGTTGTGGATAACGAGAATACCGCCTCACAACTACTAGAAAGAGGACAATTGAGAAGACGTGTTACGATCATTCCATTAAACAAAATTGCTGCTCGCACATTAGCTGAGAAGCAGGTTCATGTCGCCAAGGAACTGTGTCCAGGTAAGGTCGAACTGGCATTAAACTTGATTGGTTATGAAGCCGAAGTTTCCAAAGCCATGGAGTTTATCTTTGGTACCAGATTAATTTGCAAGGATGCCGAGACAGCCAATAAGGTTACATTTCATCCGCAAGTTAGATGCAGAAGTATCACTCTCCAAGGTGATATATATGATCCAGAAGGTACTCTCTCTGGAGGCTCTAAGAGAAATGGTGGCTCGTTGTTGATGAACATCCAGCAATATAACAAAGTCCATGATCAAATGCTCCAAAGACAGGAAGACCTAAACTCTGTTCAGGCCGAGCTTCGCCAGTTGAACGACTTATCACAGAATACAAAATCTGTTCAGAACGAACTTAATTTGACTTCCCATCAAATCCAACTTGCTGAAAAGGAATTGAAGACAAACGTTGCAAGTCAGCTCTTGCAAAGATTTGAAACCAACAACAAGGATATTGAAGAGTTGAAGAATACTATCAATCATAAGACTGAATCCATTAAACAAATATCGGCTGAGATCCAAAAGATCGAGCTTGATATAAAGGAATTTAACAACAACAAAGGTTCTAAGTTGAAAGAGCTCGAGAATGAGATCCAAAAACTCCGGGGAGAGATTCCTAAACTCGAAATGCAATTGGATAAAGCCGAAGACAACTTCCAGACGTCACAGATCGAAATTGAACAACTAAGCTCCGAATTGCAAGCTTCAAAGGATTCCATTTCTGAGGTTGATGCCAACATCAAGGATCTTTCTCAACAAACAAAGGTGCTCGAGAAGGAGATACGTGAAAAGAGTGCTGTGTTTGATGCTGTTGATGCTGAAGTAAAAGCTGAAAAGCAAAGTCAACTGGGTCTTGATGAGGAATTCAACGAATTGAACAAAGCTTTGAAGGTCAAAACTCAAATGTTGAATGACATCAAATTGAGCTCACAAAAACTATCACACGAAGTACAGAAATTGGAGGGTTCCGTTAAGGCGCTTGCGCAGCGTTTGGAGGAGCTTGTTGAGGAGAACAATTGGCTTTCAGATGAGAATATAGTTGACGCAATTATCCAGGAGTATCCTGATGTTGATCTCAATGAATTGAAGCAGAGGGTTGCTCAATTACACGAGAGGTTCCAATCGATGCATAGAAAGGTCAACCCAAACATTATGAGTATGATCGACAACGTTGAAAAGAAGGAGACCTCTTTGAAACAGATGATCAAGACCATCGAGAAAGATAAGTCTAAAATTGAAGAGACCATAGTGACCTTGAACGAGTACAAGAGAGATACCTTGATCAAAACGTGGGAGAAAGTCAGTGCGGACTTTGGTCAGGTGTTTGGCGATCTACTACCAAACTCATTCTCCAGACTTGAACCTCCGGAGGGAAAGGACATCACCGAAGGTCTTGAAGTTAAGGTTAGACTTGGAAACGTTTGGAAAGAGTCTCTTGTCGAATTGTCCGGTGGTCAGAGATCATTGATTGCACTCTCATTGATTCTTGCATTGCTTCAGTTCAAGCCGGCACCGATGTATATATTGGATGAGGTCGATGCCGCACTTGATCTCTCACACACCCAAAACATTGGCCATTTGATCAAGACTCGTTTCAAAGGGTCTCAGTTTATCATTGTTTCCTTAAAGGAGGGTATGTTTACAAACGCAAATAGAATCTTCAGAACAAGATTCCAGGACGGTACATCTGTTGTGAGTGTTATGTGATCTATTGTATAATACAAGTTTATATAATAATCTCTGTAACACTTAGTAAACCTCCAAGATGTAACGGGAGTTCTCCTTCATCTCCTCAACCTCCTTGGCAGCATCAACCTCAACACCTCTCTCCTTGGCTTCTTCGGCAACAATGTCCTCCAAAGCAGCAGTGACATCAGGAACTGGCCAGACTGGACCACACAAGTAGAAGGAACCGTTCTTCTTAACAATACACTCCTTGAGTTCAGGCAATGTCTGTCTGATACGGTCTTGGATGTAGATCTTCTCTGGTTGATCTCTGGAGAAGGCAGCACCAATGTGGGTGATGATACCAGCAGCCTTGTAAGCCTCCCACAATTCTCCATACAGGTACTCTTCCTTTCTGTGTCTAGCACCCAGGTAGAGGAAGATCTCACCAATCTCCATACCTTGCTCCTTCTGCCAGATCTTCTCCTCGACAAAGGCCTTGAATGGAGCCAAACCGGTACCCAGTCCACTCATGACAATTGGTTGTGTGGACAGTGGTGGCAGCTTCATGACGGATGGCTTGACAGAAACAACAAGCTCGGTGCCGATAGCCAACTCGGACAGATACTTGGAACACTGACCGAATCTCTTACGCTTTCTGGCATCGACCCAGTCGACAACGACAATCAACAGGTGAACAGCATTTGGATGCATCTTCTGAGAGGAAGCGATGGAGTACTCTCTTCTCTTCAAAGGTGGGACCAGGGATACCAACTCCTCGACTGATGGTCTGGCTGATGGGAAGAGCTCAAAGATGTCAGTGTAGCTGTAGAACTCGACGTCTTGGAACTTCTTCAGCAGCTCGACACCTTCAGCAGAACCCAGGGTCTCCAGCTGCTTTCTCTCCTTCTCCTCCGTGGCGAATGGAGCCAAGGTCTCATAGAATCTCTTTGCTGGCTTACCCAACAAGTCCAGGTTCTCGGTGAAAGCTTGGAAAATAGTTCTTGTCTCAACCAGATCGCTGTTGTCCTTATTTGGAACCTGGATCAAAGCGTTTGGATCCAAGCCATACAACTCGATGAACTTGTTGATCTCCTCGGTGTTGTTTCTACTGTGAACACCAAGAGCTTCACCAATGTCGTAGGTCAAACCAGTGCCAGAAATATCAAACTCGATGTGGAAAATGTTTCTGGAATAGTCAGATGGGGTGACACGACGGTTCTCTTGCACCTTGACGACAAAGTTACGGACTGGCAGGTCAGGTCTGAGGTTGTTAGTGGTGTTGAAAGATTCGCTGAATGCCAACTTCTTAGCAACATCAACATAGGAGGAGATCTCTGGCACCTCGGCTTCTGGAGTGAATCTTGGGTTGGCTTCGAATGAAGATTCGTTGACAAAGACTGGCAATGAAACCTCATTTTCCTCCAATGGCAACTCAGCCCATTTGGAGTCGACAGCGAACTCCTTGATACCCTTAGGGAAGACAGTCTCCTCAACAATAGATGTCAAGACAGCAGCCAAAAGCTCAATCTCAGAGCCAGCAGATTGCCACAAGGTTCTCACGATGGCGTTGATGTTCAGCTGTGGAGCAGCGTACTTCCAGAACACAGCTTGAATGGCAATCAAACCGGTACGGCCCTGAGCCTCTGGCAATTCACCAATCGCAGTCAAGTCAAGGAACACCAACTTGTTCTCGTTCTTAGCAACGTTACGACGGAATTGAGCTGGCAGTTTCTCGATGAATTCGTTCAAATCAGCTGGCAACTCCTCTTGAGCAATGATGATGGTTCCTTGTGGCTTGATAGTCTTGACAACGTTGAAGTTCTCCAAGACCTGCTTACCGTCAACAACGATCAAGTCAGCAGCATCAATCTCACCAACAACTGGAACAGAGGTGGAGACAGACAGTTGGGCTTGGTAGATTCCACCAGCTGGCTCGTTGTCAAACTTGGTTCTGAAGTTGAGGTTGACATTAGCATCGAGAGAGAAAGCGTGTGCAATCTTGGAAGAAGCATTGATGTATTTGCTGTTGTCCAACGACCAGAAAATGAATTCACCTTGTGGGACAGTGGAAGCACCGTTGGTTTCACCCTTGGACTCCTTCTTTGGAATGACAACAAAGGAGTTGACAATCTGCTCCACTGCAATGGCAGACCAAACAAAGGTTGGAGAGTAGATGAACTCGGAAACTTTGTACTTTGATGACAAACCATTCAAGAAAACAGTAGCATTGACGTTGCTCTTCAAGAGAGAAGATGAGTTGTTCAAAGATTGTCCAATAACAGTCAAAGTTTGGGTGGTTTGTGGAATCACAGAGAGGAAGGACTCAGAGTCGAATGGCAATGGGATTCTGGTAGCAATAACACCAATCTTCAGGTCATGCTCCTTGGAGATCTTGACGATTTCAGTGGTGAAGAGTTCAGACTCGACGGAACCGTAAACGACAAAGACATTGGTTGGTTGCTCGTGACCATAGTATTCGAATGGCTTGTAAGAAGTACCAAAAACACTGTTAAGGGAGTCCAAAGCAGCAGAAGGTCTCTTTGAGACTGGCAAAGCTTCCCAAGCTGGGATAGCAGCAACCAATTGGTCATAGGCATGTGACAACTTGTCCTGAGTAACAACGTTATCAACTCTAGCAGACTCTCTGATATAGGTTGGACCGTCAAACAAGTTCACAGAAGATTGGAGGTTTGCGTAAGCAAGTGACAACAGGGTGATGTGCTGAACCTCGTTGATAGACAACGGAGTGAAGACGGTATAGTTCAAGTCGTTTGCAAAGTTCAACGGAGTGACATAGTTTGAAACCAAGGTACCGGAGTGATCGTCGTAGTCCAACGCAGAGACTTGCAAGGATAACAGCTTCTCTTGACAGGCAGACTTCAAAGTTGGCTCGAAATAAGGCAATGAGGCACCTGTGGTGACCAATGGGATGACTTGGTCCTTCTTAGCATTGGACAGATAACCCAAGATGGCATTACCAGCACCAGATCTCACCTCCAAGTTTGAGACAGATGGGACAGCTCCCTTGCCGTTCTTTCTCTGCAAAGTGGCCCACAACTTGAGTGAAGCATCAAGTGCGTCCTTGTTACCGATGGCTTGGTAAGTGAAGATCTTCTGGACTGATGAGTACACCGCAGAGGAGTTCAAAGTGGCTGCTGTTGTGTACACAGTTCCTTGGATGGCAGCAGGGTCCTTTGGGAAGCCGAATGGGGCTGTGATGGAAGCTGACGAGAGCTTCTCAGACTCACTACGAATGGAATCAGCGATTGAAATGGCCATCCTTGTTCAGTGTGAGCGTTTTACTATGGGGAACAGTAGCAGGAATGTGGTGAAAGTGGAAAGTTGATGGAAAATTCTTCGAGGACTTTGAAGTCGATGCGGATGAGCACTAGCCACACACATTCGTATACATTTCACGTGACTTGTGGCTCGAACACGAATTTCTTTTGCCATGTGTGGCTTATGGCCTATGGCTTGTGAAATTTTTTTCTTCATGCGCCACGTCTTTCCGAAAATAGAAGAATTATGGCTTATCGCCCCGATTGGGTAATGTCTGTGGCGTATGATATCTTCTTGTTTCCTCCGCTGGTGTGCCTGTTGCCCTGGTTAAATCAATCTATAACCTTGGTACCCAAAGGAACAAAAAAAAGAAATAAACCGTACATCAAAATCTGTCAAAACGAGAACGATTTCATCCCCTTTCCCATACTTTACAATCATCAAAAGAGTCAAAGGAGGTTTGCTAAGATGGTTTCGAAGCCTTTGAGAGAACTACGGCTCTCAATAATCGGTGATAATGACGAGAAGTTACAACTGTTGAGGAGCTCAGAGGACATGGACTATCTCTTTTCAGTGCTTCAACATGCCATTGAGTCTGAAGACATGCTCGGGAAGGATGAGCAGCTGGAACTGCACCAGGTTCTGATCATTTTGTACTCCCTCACACTGTATCCAATGGCCATCAACAGTCCAAGGTTGAAAACCGAACTTCTTGCCAAATTGGCAAACATTGCTATTAGACGCCATTCAGAAGGCGATGGCACTATCTTATCGCTCGTGTGTCAAGTGATGACGAATGTTATGTCCAGATTCAATGAGGTCCATCTCGATGTGTACGATGGTAACAGTGTGTCCTTTGTTCAGGTTCTCTACGAGAAGCTGGTCAACTTTGACATTGATGATCCTTATCTCTTACACATCTTAGCCCTGGTACCTCATTTGCATCCCTTGGAGTACCAGGGCCTTGTCAAGCCACTCGTATCAGCGTTGAACTTTGTTGCTAAAGACAGCCTGGGACTGATCTCTTCCAGATATGCGGATTTGGATGTTTATATCCAATGCTATGACCATGAAGTTTTGCCCAGTTGTCTTGACCTTTGTGCCAATTCCGAATCCACGGTGAGACTGTTAAGTCTATTACTCTTTTCTCTATGTCATTTGCTATACCAAGACCAAGATCTCATAAATAAGAAGGACCAAGCGAATGAAGTGGAGAATATCGTCGACCCTATTGACGGCGTGCTATCCAAAGAGGTTTATTTCATGTTGACATGCTTCCTAAAGGGAGCTAAGAACTATGAACTCAAGCTCAGTTGCATCTCAACATTGATGAACTTTTCAACACACTCTCGTTTGAACGAACAGTCCAAGCATGCAAACATCCGTAAGCTCTTACCTAGTTTAATTGAGCTGATAAAATTGGATGATGAAGACGGTTCACACGAAGAAGTTCATTACAAGAAACAACCAAGTTGGCTGAGAAGACGGTATAACCCATTTTATCTTCTTTCCAAATTATGCCTTCAATTTGAATTTGTCAATGGCTTCCTGTTCGACTGTAATCTGATCCTCAAGTTCTGTGATATCATTGATGAAAACTTTATAAAGCTGAAGTTTGACGATGCCGATGAGTACGAGCTGAACAAGTTAAGTGACGTGTTCCTCATATTGAGCTCTGTTACGTCAAAGAATGAGGTCAATCGTAAAGCTGTATTGGATGACGACTTGGTCAATATGATTGAACGAGTATTATCATTCCACGTTGTCAATTTAAAGAAATTTGATCAGGAAGCCATTGGTGAAGAAGAGATGGCCGTATCTAACCAATTGGCACTTTCAACTTGCTACCTCTTGAGGTCTTTATCACGTTCCGTCTCTAATTTAAGAACCTATCTGAGTGAAATGGATGTCATTGCGAACATGTTGGATATACTACAGTTCCAGATTTCAAAAAGAACCGACGTAAGCTCGAGTATCTTGAAAGGTGAGAACTTGTTGAAAACCGTTGTACTGTCGATCTGTGCCAACTTGGTTTTGGACTTCAGTCCAATGCGGAAGAAGTTGTTGAGCTGTGAAGGTGATAAATTCTTGAAGATTTTGGGTGATCTGTTGAATGACTCTCAAGGAAGCGACGAGAACAATGACGTTGATAATGACTCCATTTTGATCAACTCATTATACGTTGTACGCCATATATTCTACCATGAGAAGGACCTGGACGTGCTCAACAAAGTGGTATCGATGATAGGGTACGATGGCCTCATCAACTTGTGCAAGCATCGGAACGTCAAAGTTGGTGAACAGGCGTTGAACGTGTTGAGAAACTTGACATGTCACGATTCACAAATGAAAGCTGTATTAGAGGCACTAAATACGGACGATGCGTTCTTCCAATTCCTACAGCAGGAACTTCGTGATAAGATACTACGAAAGGAGAACAACATACTGGAATGCCTCGTGTACATCATTGTTAACGTTTCGGCTATTGATGAGGAGAGAAGGGATTTGATTGTTCAACACCCAGAGATCTTAAGGGCTATTTACGACATCTTGAGCACCACGAAGAACGAGTCGTTGACGGTTGCATGTCTATGGGTGGTGATTAACCTCGGCTGGCTGGATAACGTTCAACAGAGATCAGGTGAAAGCATGAACTTCTTCCAATCTATGGGCAACAGTAGTAACGGTGACCCAGCTGTTGGCGGGCGCAGCAGAGTTCTGAAGGAGATGGGATTCACGCTACTCATACGCAGAGTGCTAGATGAGACTGAATCGCTGGATGTTAAAGAGAGAGGAAGCATTGCACTGACAAACCTCGAGAGATAAAAGTCCGTATATAGTAAACTGTTCAACATGGCACTTCTTTCGTGCGCGTACCAAGTAGAGCCAACCCTCTGCGACGAAAATGAAATGGGCCTACTTTTCCAAACAGAGCATCCCTTCTGGGGAAGCTGGTTTAAACCCAGAGAGACCAGTAGTGATGGCGTATGAACTGAGTGATAACCAGGTGTTAGGCATTGGTCTTACAACTTTTGTTGTTGCGGCCCTGGGCTACTACCTGTTGCTGAAAACTGGTGGAACTGACAAGAAGCCCGTTGCGCTGTCGCAGTACCATATCTGTAAGAACCAGCTGGAGAGTGTATCGTCCAAGATGGAGCAAGGCTTGGTGAAACAGATTGACACTTATTACGATGAGTTTGAGGGCTTGAAGGATGAGGACAAGCAGTACAAGCTGAACTACTTCCAGGAGGAGCTGCTGAAGGAGCTGATCAAGCTCGACGACGTCGACCTCACGGAGCTGTCGGACAGCGACGAACGCCAGGAGCTCAAGCTGCAGAGGAAGCAGTACATCAAGAGAATCCAGGGCCTGCTCAAGGACCTGGACGACTGGAAGCCAAAGGTTCGTGTATAGAGCTTCCCCAAATAGTACAACCACGTGACCACACCCGTACACCAGAGTAGGTGTCGTGGTGTCCCCGGACCAAATCGTAGTCGTGCGCCGCTCATTTCCGGAAGGACCTTGCCGTATGCGGCGTACACCTGTGCGGCCAATACCAAAACCACTGCGGAAATGGCTAAGAAAAGACTGGGAGCACTAATAAAACCTCGAGATTTTCCTGAGAGCTTTAGGGATCGCTGTGATGTGTCCCCTACCACGAAGCTTCATTCCGGTCATCGGGGTTTTCAGCGCTGGACTTTTAAGGGCGCAGCGATGGGAGAAGAAATTGTGTGTGTTGTTGTTTGTTTTTGCAGTGGCTGCGACTTCTAAAGCACCAATTGACGCATTGCGACCAAAAGAGCAAGGGATCAGACGGCTGGCCCATTCCCAGTGGCTTTGTCGTTGTTCTAAATCCAGCAGCTCAGAGCTCACGTACCCGTACCTTGGGAGATGTGCTCACTGAGTCAGCGCTAGTCACACCCAGTGAGATGAGGCTATACCGCCACGGCCTCGTATATATCCGGTATACCAAACACGCTGAGCAGAGGGAAGGCGCTGGGGGCCCGAGCCTGGAGCTCTTCAACACAGCGTGGGACGGTCACGCCTGTGTGTTCTCCTGGCGGTGTTATATACCGTAGCGAGGCATCAGTTTGGGCGCTGGCATGGTGGTGAGGTTATCAGGCTGGGATAGGGGCAAATGGACAACACCCATGGCCCGTCGCAGCGGTAGTGTTGACTGCTATCGCTGGAAGCAGATCTCGCCTCCTCCACCTCCCAGCACGCCAAGCTCCACTTGCAACTTCCAAACACAAGCAGCAGCAACAGCAACAACAGCAGCAGCGCGCAGTGAGCATCACCACCATCCAGCGAGCACAGAGCACACACCACACACCACACACCACAAGACGCTCCAGCGCCACTGCTACAACCCAACCGCTCGTCAACGCTCGCTCCGCCAGGCTACGACCGCACACCACCCACACACCACCCGCACACCACCCGCCTAGTCCCTTATTGCCTCGTCCCCCTGGCTATCTCCTCCCAGAGAGTTTGGTCTAGGCCTTTTTCCCGCGCGCATACGATGTGACACACCGCTGGCGTCTAGCGAAAAAAAATCTCACAGGTGATTGCTCCTAACGTCGCTTTCTGCCCGGCCCGCGTGAGTTTGTTTTCCTTTTCCTGTTCGCATCAAAAACAACAACACACAACTTTCTGTTTTTAGCTGTTTCTTTTGAAGCCATGGAGGCCGTTTTTTGGGCTGGTGGTATCCTGTGGAAATTATATAAATGCGAGTAGCCTTGCCCTTTGTGCTGTGTGTGGGAATGTGGTGAAAATTGATTTCGAGCCAATTCGTTAGAGAGGGTTATTACATATACACACACACATACACACACCATTGAACCATGGCATCGAGTGATTTGGAGTCGATCGACTCACAGTTCGACCCTCAGGCATACGTCCCTGAGGAGAACGAGGACGCTCAATCGGAGCTCAGCACCACGGTTTCCAGAGCGCAGACGAATAACAGCGTGAGACTGGTGCCCACAGAGACGGTCAAGTCGCTGCAGTCGATGGGAGTGCAGAGCAGCGCACCAATACCTGACTACAATGCTCCGCAGAACATCCAGAACCCAATGTTCCCAGAGGAGTACACCCTGGAGACCCCAACTGGTTTGGTTCCCGTGGCGACTTTGCAAAACATTGGTAGAACGACGACGAATCTGTCAAGGGTCAGAACCGCACACATTGAAGGTGTAAGTTCGAACGAGTTGGAGGAGTCGTCGTCGTCTACGGAGAAGCAGGATAAGTTACAGGACCTGGATCCAGAGATCGAGTTTGTCACTTTCCTTACAAATGACCCGGAAAACCCACACAACTGGCCAACCTGGATCAGATGGGTTTACACCATCAACCTGTCCATCTTGGTCATTTCCGTGGCGTTCGGTTCCTCGTGTGTCACGGGTGGTTTGGGCCTCATCAACGATAAATTCGGAGTCTCCACGGAGGTGTCCACCCTGACCTGTTCGTTGATGGTGTTGGGATTCTCCATTGGACCTTTGCTTTGGTCGCCATTGTCCGAGCAGATTGGTAGACAGCCGGTTTACTTCATCTCGTTGTTGCTGTACGTCATCTTTAACATCCCATGTGCTGTTGGTAAAAACATTGGTACCATTCTGGTTTGTCGTTTCCTGTGTGGTGTTTGGGCTTCTTCCGGTTTGTCACTTGTTGGTGGTTCCATCGCCGATATGTTCCCAGCTGAGACCCGTGGTGAGGCAATTGCCTATTTCGCCTTTGCCCCTTACTGTGGTCCTGTGTTTGGTCCTTTGGTCTGTGGTTGGATTAACATCAAGACCGGGAGATACGACATCATCATTTGGGTCAACATGGCCTTTGCAGGTGTCATGTGGATTCTGGCATCTTTGGTTCCAGAGACATATGCTCCAGTGATCTTGAAAAAACGTGCTAAACGTCTTAGAAAAGAAACTGGTAACCCAAAGATCATGACAGAACAGGAGGCTCAAGGGTTGTCATTGAAAGAGTTAATCGAGTCTTGTCTCGTTAGACCACTTTACTTTGTCGTCACAGAGCCTGTGTTGGATCTCATGTGCTTCTACGTCTGTCTTATCTACGCATTGCTTTATGCGTTCTTCTTTGCATACCCTGTGATCTTTAACGAGTTGTACAACTACAACGATGCATACATTGGCCTTATGCTCATTCCAATCTTGATTGGTGCATGTATGGCTTTGGGTACAACTCCAGTCTTGGAGAAGCAATACGTTAAAATGACGCACAGAAGAAAGGCCACTCCAGAGGATCGTCTTGTTGGTGCTATGCTTGGTGCTCCATTTGCTGCAATTGCACTGTGGATCTTGGGTGCCACTTCTTACAAGCACATCATCTGGGTGGGTCCAGCTTCTAGTGGTATCGGATTCGGCTATGGTATGGTGCTTATCTATTACTCAATCAACAACTACATTATTGATTGTTATGCCGTTTACGCATCTTCTGCGTTGGCCACGAAGGTGTTCTTGAGAAGTGCCGGTGGTGCTGCTTTCCCATTGTTTACGCCCCAGATGTATAGAAAGCTGGGTTTGCAATGGGCAAGTTGGTTGTTGGCATTTATCGCTACTGCTATGGTTGCAATTCCATTTGCTTTCTACTTTTACGGTAAGACTTTAAGAGCTAAGTTGTCCAAGAAGAATTACTCCTTGGATGATGAGCCATAAGAATAGCATCCGTCTGGTGTTACTTATCACCGTCTGTCAGAGTTACAAGATGGGAAGAATAGGACCCATGTCCTCTTATAATACCATTTTTTTGTTTGCTTACATTGCATCTCGCATCGATCATTTTACTTTGTCCTGTTCTCATTTGGGGTAACTTCAACAGCAGAGTTAACTAATACTTCCTATACACATATTGACACTTATATCAAAATATGCCTTGTAGAACAAGCGGTCTCACGCCAACTAGCCTACATCATCACAACCAATGAGTTTGCCATTACGAGCTCAAAGCCTATAGATGTGAATCTCAGGGGTCCTCCCCTTAATTCCAGGGTCCTACTAACTGCTGACTCCGACAAGATGTCTGATACAAAGCTCACCCACTGATCTGGCCCGCATCACATGACTCATGACTGTCTATCGCTACAGCTCATAACGCTAATCGTGTGCTCTCCATGAGTCACCAATCATGGGGAAGATGATCGCTTGTATACAGCACCGTTGCACCTCATCTGGTAAAGTGAAGGGTGTTGCAGGGCTCAGAACCGATGCATATGCAGTCCGGCCTTTATGCTGCCTTGACCATTGGGTGCAGCATGCACTGTGTCTTCTACCAGAACTATAACTCACATAAGCAGGTCTACTACAATGTTCAACAGCGGTTTGCTTCTCTATCCACGTTCTATTGGCTCAATTGAGTGTGTCTCTGTTTCTCAGAACCCCATACGATGTCTCTTTGGTGAAATACATGACACTGTACTCTGAAAAGAATATATACAGCGAACTAGCCCGGCTAATATGCCAGCTGTCCAGATAAAGCAACTGTAAAAGCAAGCACTGCACATGTGCGATGTGATGGAATTATGTCATTCTGGGGGAATGTAAAGCTGCCAATACGCCACTGCTTTGGTGTGAATATACAGGCACTTTGTAGGGTGTTGTCTCGAGTCGTTGTTCCTCTTATAGCCAGGATATACATCATGAACTCCGTAGAGAGTGCTGATAAGAACTATGTGATTGTGTCTGACGGCTCTGAAAAGTTGTCTCCAGTACCACCGTTACAGAGGAGGTTATTGACACCATTTCTTTCGAAAGAGGTGCCTCCAATACCCGTGGACGAGGAGAGGGTGAAGTACCCATACTTGATGACCAACCCCTTCTCGACGGTCTTCTTCACTTGGCTGAACCCTCTGCTGAAAGTTGGCTATAAGAGAACGCTCAGCCCTAATGACTTGTTCAAAATTGCAGATAAGGACGCCCTTGATTATACGTATTCAACGTTTGAAAGACACCTTGACGAGATCATTCAAAAAGATAGAGATGCCTTGAAACTAAGGGACCCTTCAATAACTGAAGAAGAGCTTGAGGCGAGAGAATATCCAAAGAACGCCATACTGAAGGCACTATTGAAGACATTCAAGTGGGAATACTCGTTCGCTGTCTTCTTCAAGCTACTGTCCGATACAGCACAGGTTCTCACGCCGTTGCTATCGAGGGCACTCATCACATATGTCCAAGACAAAACTGTCGATCCTGGTCTGCCTGTGAACAACGGTGTGGGCTACGCCATTGGGGTTACATTCATGCTGGCTGTCACTACGCTGTGTACAAATCACTTCCTATATCTATCTCTGACGGTTGGTCTCCACGCTAAGTCCATCCTGACAACTGCTGTGTTGAAGAAAAGCTTCAAGGCCAGCTCAGTGACAAGACACACGTTCACCAATGGAAGGGTGACATCGTTGATTTCTGCAGATCTGGCGAGAGTTGACCTGGCCTTTGGGTTTCAACCATACGTTATAACAGCACCGGTGCCTATCATTGTGACAATTGCACTGTTAATCATCAATATAGGTGTTTCGTCTCTGGCAGGTATTGCAATGTTCCTAGTGGCCCTGTTTGTCATTGGTGCGTGTTCAGGTGCTCTTATGGCCTTGAGGAAGAAGGTTAACAAGTTCACTGACTCGAGAATATCGTATATGCGTGAAATTCTGCAGAACATGAAGATAATCAAGCTCTACTCTTGGGAGGATGCGTATGAGAAGACCGTTACAGATGAGAGAAACAATGAAATTGGTGTCATGCTCAAGATGGTGTCGGTGAGAAACTTCTTGATGGCGTTTGCAATATCTTTACCCTCTGTGGTGTCAATGGTGGCATTTCTTGTGCTCTATGGTGTATCTCAAGATCAAAATCCAGCGAATATATTCACGTCACTCTATCTCTTTAGTCTCTTGGCTGGCCAGATCATGATGGTGCCAATGGCTCTATCAACAGCAACAGATGCGAAGATTGGTCTTGAAAGACTGAGGTTGTATCTGCAATCTGGTGAAGTTCAGTCAAATGATGATGACAAAGGTGAAGATGGAACTAATAGTCTTCCGGAAGATGTTGCAATTCAGGTCACCAATGCCTCCTTCATCTGGGAGAAGTTTGAAGATGAAGATAATGAAGCAGAGGAAACACCAGAAACGACTTCATCTATAGAGAGACTGGATGAATTGTCAAAGCATGATTTTGAAGGTTTTTCCAATATCAACTTCTCCATCAAGAAGAGTGAAGTAGTTCTTATAACTGGGCCTATAGGCTCTGGTAAATCGTCGCTTCTACTGGCACTCGCAGGCCAAATGACCAAGACATCAGGGTCACTGAAGACTGCCGGTTCCCTCCTTTCAGCAGGTCAGCCATGGATTCAAAATGCGACCGTGAAGGAGAATATACTCTTCGGAGAACCCTTCAACCAAGACAGATATCAACAAGTTGTCAGAGTCTGTGCTTTGGAGGACGATTTGCAATCGTTTACAGCTGGTGATGCTACTGAAGTTGGAGAGCGTGGCATCACGCTCTCTGGAGGTCAAAAGGCAAGAATCAACTTGGCAAGAGCTGTATATGCGAACAAGGATATCATTCTTTTGGATGATGTGTTAAGTGCTGTTGATTCACGTGTTGGTAAAATCATTGTTGATGAATGCTTCAAGAAGTTCCTTCGTAAGAAGACTATCGTTCTTGCTACACATCAGCTCAGTCTTGTCCATTTCGCAGATCGTGCAATCTTTCTTAACGGTGATGGATCAATCAACATTGGAACTGTTGAAGAATTGTCGAAGACTAGCAGTGGTTTTCTTAAGTTGATGGAATACTCATCGAGACCAGATTCTGATACGTCAAATGACGGTCAGAATGAAAAGCTGGAGGGAATTCTCAGTGGAAAGAGTGTTCACCACAATCCTCAGGAGAGTACTTTGATTGAAGATGAGGAAAGAGCTGTGAATGCAATTGAATGGTCGGTTTATAAGGCTTATTTACATGAAGGCCAAGGTAAATTTGGTGTCTTTGCAATTCCACTGATCGCCATGTTCATGACTTTTGATGTATTTCTCACCATCTTTGTCAATGTCTGGCTCACGTATTGGATCAACGATAGCTTCCCTGGCCGTTCAGATGGCTTCTACATTGGTTTCTACGTCATGTTTGTTGTTTTGAGTATCGTTGCAATATCTTCAGAGTTCATAATGATGGGTTACTTCTTCTCAACAGCATCAAGAAGGCTGTACTTGAAGGTTTTGAAGCGTGTTCTCCATACGCCAATGCACTATCTGGATGTGACTCCAATGGGCTGTGTTTTAAACAGGTTCACCAAGGACACTGACTCTCTCGACAACGAAATTGGACAAGAGTTAACTATGCTGGTGTACCCAGGTGCTATCTTGACTGGTACTGTTATCCTCTGTGTCGTCTATCTACCATGGTTTGCCATTGCACTTCCACCGTTATTGGTCGTCACCACGGCCACTACAAACTTCTACGTCGCATCATCCCGTGAAGTGAAGCGTATAGAAGCCCTACAGAGGTCCCATGTGTTTAACAACCTCCATGAGATACTGAATGGCCTGCAAACTTTGAAGGCATACAACGCACTTGAGAGGTTTATGGATAAGAACAAACATCTCATAGATCGTATGAATGAAGCGTACATCCTGGTGATAGCCAATCAGAGGTGGATCTCTATTCATTTGGAGCTTGTATCGTGCCTGTTGGTTCTGGTTGTGGCCTTGTTGTCTGTTTTCAGGGTGTTCAACATCAACGCTGCTTCTGTGGGTTTGATCATCAACTACGTTATGCAAGTGGCCACGTTCATGTCACTTGTTATGAGGTCGTATACCTCTGTTGAGAACGAAATGAACTCAGTCGAGAGACTGTGCTTTTATGCTCACGATCTTGAGCAAGAGCCTCCATACAGGATCAACGAGACCAGGCCAAGGCCTTCATGGCCAGAACATGGTGCAATTGAGTTCCAGAACGTTTCCATGAGGTACCGATATGGCTCACCACTGGTGTTGAGGAACTTGTCTATCTCTGTCAAAGGTGGTGAGAAGATTGGAATCTGTGGGAGAACTGGTGCAGGCAAGTCCTCCATCATGAATGTGTTATTCCGTCTTAGTGAGCCTGCTGAGGGTACTGTGCTCATTGATGGTGTCGATACTTCGAAACTTGGGCTCTATGACTTGAGATCGAAGCTGTCCATCATTCCACAAGATCCAGTGCTATTTAGAGGCACCATCAGAAAGAACCTGGATCCCTTCGAGCAGAGCGAGGATTCTGCTCTATGGGAAGCTCTGAGAAAAGCTGGTCTCATCGACACTGACGTCTTGAGAAAGGCCATATCACAGCATCCTGATGACCCAAACCGTCACAAGTTCCACCTGGACCAGCTTGTAGAGGATGATGGCTCCAATTTCTCCAATGGTGAGCGTCAATTGATTGCACTGGCTCGTGCACTGGTTCGTGACTCCAAGATCCTAGTGCTGGATGAGGCCACGTCCAGTGTCGACTACGAAACAGACGCAAAGATCCAAAACACCATTGCTGAAGAGTTCAGCGAATGTACTATCCTGTGCATTGCACACAGGCTGAACACTATCTTGAATTATGATCGTATTCTTGTGTTGGAACAGGGCAAAGTGGAGCAGTTTGACACACCTTGGGCACTGTTCAATCAAGATGGCATCTTCAGACAAATGTGCGAACGTTCTGGTATAAAGTCAAGTGAAAGGTTGTCTCAAAATTGGTCACTACGTCTAGATGGTGCTTAATACAAGCTCCCCTGGCTCTTCTCATATACTAGCAGCCCGTAAATTAAAAAACCGCACGCCTTACATGCCTTCAGATCATAACACACAAACGCATTATATCTCGAGCTTACGTTACTTCTGAACTAAACGAACGGCTGAGTGAAACATGAAACTGTACCACTGAGAGGACCTCATACTACAAAAGAATGTGATGAAAAGGAGATCGAACATAGGGGCTCTTCTCTGGACATAACTACCATAATCGGCTATAAGTCTCCGATGCCGTGCATGATCGAATATGCACTTTTACCATTGTGTCTGAGCCTCGAGAACTCTTTCCACGATGAGATAAGCAGTGGTGTTCACTGTGTTGGTCAACTAATGGTATACTAAGACCTCATTCATGATATTGCTGGCTCACTGATATCTAGGGCTACTCGATCAGAAGGTGCCAATGTAGTTGGATTTTGCTACGCTGGAGCTGTATGTTTGGTGAATACATCTTCGTGCGTATCAAGGCAGCTATCGATGATGCGATGAATTTACGAATCTATTTTCAGCTTACCCCTAAACTATTGTTGAGAGTTCCAGCTACATGCTAAGGGCCATACTATGCATCGTGCCGTCCGATGTACCTTGGATGGCCACACGGTACATGAACAATTGGTATGGACGGCCGAAGATAGGAGAGTTGTTGGTTCGAAAACCACTTTTCCACTATAAGATCACATGAGTTTCCAACTTTTCCACTCCTTAGTCGTCAGCTACTCTTCAACAGGGAGATGAGTACCATCAAAGGTTCCAACTCAGAAGACAAGCGAGGCCTGCTATCCCAAGATGTTGAGAAATGTGAGGTAACTGAGCCACTACTGCAAAGGAGGTTTCTAACCCCACTACTATCGAAACAGGTGCCTCCAATACCTACAGAAGATGAGAGAAAGCTATATCCCGATCTCAAGAAAAACCCAGTGTCTACGCTATTCTTTGGCTGGCTGAACCCACTGCTCCGTGTTGGCTATAAGAGAACCTTGGTTCCTAACGATCTCTATCGGTTAGATGGTAGTTTATCCATTGAACATACATACGAAGCGTTCAAAGAAAACCTCATGAAAGTCTTACACAAGGATAATTCTTCAAATGTTGATAACAATCATGAATTGGTTTATTCAAAAAACTCTATCGTCAAGGCATTAATGATGACCTTAAAGTGGGAGTACTCTTTAGCAATTACCCTGAAGTTGCTGAGTGACATATCACAGGTTGTGGTTTCGATCTTGTCAAAGTCTCTAATCAACTTTGTATCTGAGAAGACACTTTTTCCGAATACACCGGTGAAGCGTGGTGTTGGTTATGCTTTCGGTGTCACTCTGCTCTTGATCACCTCCAATCTGCTCCTTAACCATTTCTTGTACTTGTCACTTGTCGCTGGTGCTAAGGTTAAAGCCATATTAACAACCCTAATATTGGATAAGACCTTTAGAGCTGATGCACACTCAAGACACACTTTCACAAATGGTAAAGTAACATCTATTATGTCCACAGATTTGGCAAGAATTGATCAGGCTGTGGGCTTACAGCCCTATGCCATTACAGCTCCTGTGCCTTTGGCAATTGCCATTGCCTTGCTGATAGTCAACATTGGACCATCATCTTTGGCTGGTGTTGGTGTTTTTCTGCTTTCTTTGGTCATCATTATCACCATATCTACTCTGCTGATAAAGATGCGAGCTCGTGCTAACAGGTATACTGATTCGAGAATATCTTATATGCGTGAGATCTTGCAAAACATCAAAGTTATCAAATTATATTCCTGGGAGGATGCCTATGAACGAATAGTGACAGGGGAAAGAAACAATGAAATGGGGATCATACGGAAGATGCAATCTATACGGAACTTTCTCGCAGCTTTTGCAATTTCTTTGCCTTCGTTAGTTTCAATGGTGGCATTCCTGGTGATGTACGGAGTATCGAAGGACAAGAACCCTGCAAATATCTTTCCGTCTCTCTATCTCTTTAGCATTCTAGGTGACCAGCTATTGATGATGCCAACGGCTCTGTCTTCTGCTGCTGATGCAAAAGTTGGACTTGAACGACTACGCCTGTACTTACAATCAACCGAAATTGAAGATGAGAAGGTGGATGGTGAGGCTGATCTCCCACCTAACATTTCAATGGAGGTAAATAATGGCTTCTTCGTATGGGAAAAGTTCCAAGATACTGACAATGGAGGCCATGTTGTTAGTCAGCCAGCTTCTATCACCAATGATGTAGCTTCGAGATGTGACTTCAATGGCTTTGACAATCTCAATTTGTCAATTCCAAAGGGCAGCTTCGTAGTCATCACTGGACCAATTGGGTCCGGTAAGTCCTCGCTGCTTCTGGCCCTTGCAGGCTTCATGAAGAGGACTTCTGGGTCAGTTTCTTCAAATGGCTCACTTCTCCTATGTGGTCAACCCTGGATACAGAACACGACTCTTAGAGAAAACATTCTTTTTGGAGCTGAGTACGACGAAGTAAGATACCGTGATGTTATAAGGGTTTGTGCTCTGGAAGACGATCTCAAGATGTTTACTGCAGGTGATCTAACTGAAGTTGGAGAGCGTGGTATCACACTTTCGGGAGGTCAGAAGGCAAGAATCAACTTGGCAAGAGGTATCTATGCGGACAATGATATTATCCTCCTTGATGATATATTGAGTGCTGTAGATGCACGTGTTGGGAAGTTCATTGTCGATGAATGTTTGAACAAATACCTCAAGGATAAAACTGTGTTGCTCGCTACTCATCAACTCAGTCTGGTGAATTTGGCTGATGCACTGATTTATTTGAATGAAGATGGTACGGTTAGTATGGGCACTTTTGAAGAGTTAAGTGCAACCTGTAATGGGTTCAATAGACTGCTGGAGTATTACTCTAAGAAAGAAGATGTTAGCTCTAAGGAATCTTCAAGCAAGAAAGAGCCTTCATCTAATTCATCAGGGTCTGGGTATGGTGGGCTCACTGGTGATGGAATTCTCATTGAAGAGGAAGAAAAAGGCGTTAACAGTATTGCATGGAGCGTCTATAAGAGCTATCTTCATGAAGGACAAGGTGTTGCTGGACCATTTGCATTGCCAGTCATTGGCGTTGTAATGAGTCTTAACACTTTTGCGCTGATATTTGTGAACGTCTGGCTCTCATTTTGGGTATCCGATAAGTTTAGAGAATACTCCAATGGGTTCTATATTGGTATCTATGTGGCTCTTGTCATTGCTAGTGTCTTATGCACTGCCATTGGTTTCCTTGTCTTAGGGTATTTCTTCTCAACAGCATCTAGAAAATTATACATCAAAGCATTGAAGAGAATCTTACATACTCCAATGTGTTACCTCGATGTCACGCCCATGGGAAGGATCATGAATAGATTTACCAAAGACACAGACGATTTAGACAATGGAATTGGTAAGCAGCTAGTCATCTTAATTTACACTGGCTCATTTGTCATCGGTGTGCTCGTGCTATGCATTGTCTACCTTCCTTGGTTTGCGTTGACACTTCCTCCAACTTTACTCGCTTGTTTCATCACAGCCAACTTTTACATTGCCTCTTCCATAGAGGTTAAGCGTATTGAATCCATTCAGAGATCTCATGTTTTCAACAACTTCCATGAGATTCTTAATGGGTTAAATACACTGAAGGCATATCATGCATTAGGAAGATTTATGGCTAAGAACAAAAGACTTCTTAACCGTATGAATGAGGCTTACTTCGTGGTCATTGCAAATCAAAGATGGATATCCATTCATTTGGAACTGATATCATGTCTTCTTGTCTTTGTGATTTCTATGTTGTCTGTCAACAAAGTCTTTGAAATCAGTGCATCTTCAGTAGGTTTAATAGTGACGTACGTTATGCACCTCGCTAGCCTTATGTCTTCAACAATGAGAGCTTACACCTCTGTTGAGAACGAAATGAACTCAGTCGAGAGACTGTGCTTCTATGCCAATGACCTTGAGCAAGAACAACCATACAGGATCAACGAGACCAGGCCAAGGCCTTCATGGCCAGAACACGGTGCTATTGAGTTCCAGAACGTTTCCATGAGGTACCGATATGGCTCACCACTGGTGTTGAGGAACTTGTCTATCTCTTTCAAAGGTGGTGAGAAGATTGGAATCTGTGGGAGAACTGGTGCAGGCAAGTCCTCCATCATGAATGTGTTATTCCGTCTTAGTGAGCCTGCTGAAGGTACTGTGCTCATTGATGGTGTCGATACGTCCAAGCTAGGACTTTATGATTTGAGATCGAAGCTGTCCATCATTCCACAAGACCCAGTGCTATTTAGAGGTACCATCAGAAAGAACCTGGATCCCTTCGAGCAGAGCGAGGATTCTGCTCTATGGGAAGCTCTGAGAAAAGCTGGTCTCATAGACACTGAAGTCTTGATAAAGGCCAAATCACAGCATCCTGATGACCCAAACCGTCACAAGTTCCACCTGGACCAGCTTGTAGAGGATGATGGCTCCAATTTCTCCAATGGTGAGCGTCAATTGATTGCACTGGCTCGTGCACTGGTTCGTGACTCCAAGATCCTAGTGCTGGATGAGGCCACCTCCAGTGTCGACTACGAAACAGACGCAAAGATCCAAAACACCATTGCTAAAGAGTTCAGCGAATGTACTATCCTGTGCATTGCACACAGGCTGAACACTATCTTGAATTATGACCGTATTCTTGTGTTGGAAAAGGGCAAAGTGGAACAGTTTGACACACCTTGGGCCCTGTTCAATCAAGATGGCATCTTCAGACAAATGTGCGAACGTTATGGTATCAATTCGACTGATTTGAGAGCTTCACAATAGATATCCATTACTATACCCTGTACTAGATCTATTATCACGGTTGAATCTTCTCTCCCTTGGCCAATTCAACTGCGCCTTTATACCCTTGGCCAAAGCAATCTGGAACACCAATACCATCACCGAACGACATTCCACCTTGGGATAACATCCCCTTAAATTCTAATTGTATCTTCTTGTCGAAGTCTCTTTTCAATGATTCATAGCCAACATTATACTGAGGAATGCATTTTTCAATGTATGTCTTTTCAATATGAGTGTTGTCTGTATTCAGTCTTATACCAAGCTGTTTGGCAGCTGCATCAATACAATTCCTTGTCAAAGCATCGATATCTCCATCAAACGGTCTATCATCATGATAGTGACCACCACACATAATGGTGAGCTTTGTATAGTCAGCTGGGCTGTAAACTCCATCCACCTGCTCTTTATCAAATGATACAGTTGATCCGTTGAACAGTGGTACGCAACCTTTTTCAACCTCTGAATCGAAAATGACCCCTAATAGTCCAAATGGGTTCGGGTTCGACATCGGCACTAAATAGCCAAATCCATGGTATGGTAAGATGTCCTTTTTTATGTACAAGTTTATCAGCAAGATATTGATTGAATGCACCTTTGACGCAATTGCACCGGTTTCAGAATTCTGAATCAATTGGAACAGCTTAGACGCATTGATTGTCGATCTAACATGGTCGTAGCTGGTATTGTTCACCGAGACCTGATTTGAATCTATAGCAAGTGAGTTCACATCAGTGTTCAGTTTGAAACAGACATTCGGTTGTGCTTCTAAAGCTTTTGCAATGGATAAAGGTAAAGTTGATAATCCATCTGTCATGGTTATCATTGGGAAGTTCTTCAAAAATTTAGACAATTCAAGAACGCTGTAACCCTCTGGTTTGAATCTCTCCTGATAATCGCTCAACAGCGATGAGGTAGATGGCTTGTCCTTCTTATTGAAGATTGATCTAATGATCGAGCCGTACTTCTTCTCGGAGTTGAACATCGATTTCAACGTCGATTTAGCACTCAGCTTATCGATATCACCGGCGTAGATGCCGTGGAAAACAGCACTTAGAACGTTGTCCGGCAAAGCATGTCCAAATCTTCTTGTCAAGAAGGATCTCACGCTCTCGTCATCCTTTGATGAAGCCTTCACAAAGGGCTCTTTTAGAGCCCCTTGTATAAGACCCTTGCCTAATGGGTTTCTCAAGAATCGGATCAGAGTCTTGAAACTGTTAGGCACTTGAAGCAGAGTCTCGGAAGACAATAAGTACTTCCTATTGGCTATGGAATCGGACTTGATGACATTAATCTTGTCTTTCTGACCCAATCTCAACAGTGTATCTATGATCAGCACAGTACCATCACTAGCACCTCTTAAAGTCCTTGGTCCTTTCTCCAAAGTTACATGTGCCTCATCAATTGGAGTGAGTTGCGAGCAGATATAACCACCAACTCGTGGTTGACTGTCGTATACCGTTATAGATACATCTGGTCTCAGCTTCGAGAGGAAATAGGTGAACGATAGACCAGATATCCCCGAACCGATCACGGCCACTCTGGCATTGGGCTTGAGAGACATCTGATACGCTGAATGGGCGTGAGGTCAATTGGTTTGCAGAAGAAGAGTTGAAGTCGTAGAGCCTCGAGTTGTGAAATGTAATGCCGTGATGCCACCATCGATGTACGAGTACAAATGAGGTGTCTGGATGTTTGGGTGTCCAGATTTATAGGTGTTTGGATGTATGGGTGTCCGGGTGGTAGGCACCGCCCGTTTTGTACATAAATGGGAGAAGCGCGGACGAATTTGTTCTGGAACCGCGGCTCAAACTATGACAGGTGGTCGGGAACCGTAGTTGCCCACAGGACAAAACCAGGAAAATCCACAAAGTCTCAACCAAAACGCGGGGTAAAGTCCCAAAGTAAACATAACCTCTTTTGATCAGCGTTAAGCAGATGCACCTGGAGATCCAAGCACAGAGACAACAAAAAAAAGGAGACAGGCCTAGCTTTAACGTATATGTGTTTCCCGAACTTTTCCCCATTTTCCCTCACATATGTGAGGACTCACCACAGATGAACTCAATTTTGGAATTTTTTGTCCACATTAGCCCCGCAAGTTCGCAAACTGGAACTGTCGTGTTACGCACGTAATGTCAAGTAGCGTAGTGTACTCGCCTCCAACAACACTTGTCCCCCGTTGCGGAAAACCCTGGGGTACTCAGCTTAATGGTTGAGATGCCGAGGGACTTGAACCCAAATTTCTTCTCCAGCGCGCTAAGAGACGGAGCTTGCGCGTAGGTCATGAGCTTTCCCAGTACTCTCCACCACATTAATGATGAAACCGTGAAATTAATAGTCGATATACCGAAGGAGACTACTTTTTATTTCTTTTTCCTGTAGCTTGTCCTCAAAGTGTTTATAAAGCAACAACTATCCACCAGTATTTTCACCATGTCTTGGGTTGTCTGGCCCGTTTGTCCTGTCCCGTTCCTCACGACTAATACGCTTCCCCACCCATGTCTTCATTCACGTCGTTACTCAAAAGAGAGGAGTGCTACAACAAAGAGGGAAAGTTTGACCTCGACCTTTTGAAGGCAAACACGCCTTTACCAACGATCAAAGCTCCTCACAAACAGACATACAGAGTCCCGGGTTCTGAGAAACCCGGTTACTCGTCCGCATACAGATCGTCACATTTGCCTGTTGGCCAACCGCTTGTTGATAAAGTTGCTCCGGGGTTCGATACGGTACTCTCCGTCATGGAGCACGCCTTTGCGCACTATCCGGACAGACCATGTCTCGGGACTAGGCTGTTGAAGAAAGATGGGTCTGATTATGAAGACCACTTCACCTATGCGACCTATAGAGAAGTGCAGGAGAAGAGAAACAGAATCGGATCAGGCATCAGAACCCTTGTTGGAAGGGATGAGAAGTTTGTTGTTGGGCTGTACAGCTCAAACAGACCTGAGTGGGTTGTTACGATGCTGGCCACACAGGCCTATGACCTGATCTACACGGCGTTGTATGATACGCTGGGCCCTACCACGTCTGCCTATATTCTCAACTTCACTGAAACGCCTTTGCTTGTCGTTTCAAAGGAGAAGCTACGCTCGATCTTCCAGTTGAAGAAGAACAACGGCTTGCCACACTTGAAGTTTGTTGTTGTTATGGAGCCTTTGGACTTGGAGAAGGATTTCGGATTGGTTCAAGTTGCAGAATCAAGAGGCGTTAGAATCTTGGACTTTAACCAATTGGAGAACATTGGCCGTTTGAATCCATTGCCTGTGATCAAGGCTAGACCAGAATCTACATTCGGTATTTCCTTCACATCGGGTACTACAGGTAACCCGAAGGGCGTGGAAATTACACAGTCAATGACTGCTGCCTTCGTTGCGTTCAGTATTTCCTCTGTGTACGTTACTGTGAAGCCCGAAGATCAGATTAGAGTGTTTGGCTTCCTGCCTTTGGCACATATCTATGAAGTTTGTAACTTGAGTATGCAATTGACAACTGGTTGTTCAATTGCATTCCCTCCAGACCCTTCTCCTCTGAAACTGGTTGAGAACTTGGCCATTGTTAAGCCACACATCGTGTGCTTGGTTCCAAGAGTTTATACCAAGATGGAGGCATCCTTGAAGGAAGCCATGTCTAGTTCCTTTGTCGGACGTCAGCTTTTGAAAGGAATTGAAAGCAAGATTGAGCAATCGACAGATGATGGTTTACCACATTCCATTCTTTTGGACTCTCTAGCCTTGAAGGGAGTTCGTAAGAAATTGGGTGTATCTGAAACAAGTATTTTAATCAGTGGTTCTGCTCCAATTGGTTCTGAAACTGTTGACTTTTTGAGAAGTTCCCTGGGAACTGGGTTCTCACAAGGCTATGGATTGACAGAGTCAACGTCAGGTATCTCAGTTTCATCACCTTTTGATAAGGAGGTTACGTGTGGTGGTATTGCCATCACCACCGAGTTTAGACTACGTGCTTTACCACAGATGAATTACCATACACATGATGAAAAGGGTGTTGAGTTGGATGAACCACAAGGTGAATTGTTATTACGTGGTCCCCAAATCTTCCCTCGCTATTTCAAGAACCCTGAGGCTACAAAGGATACCTTTGATGAAGATGGGTGGTTTAAGACGGGTGATGTTGCTAGACGTGACAGCCGTGGTCGTATCACCATCATTGATCGTGTCAAAAACTTCTTCAAACTGGCTCAAGGTGAATACATTACTCCAGAGCGTGTTGAAAACGCATATCTTGCTGTCACTCCCTTCTTGACCCAAATCTATGTCCATGGTGACTCGATGAAGACCTTCCTTGTGGCAATTGTCGGTGTTGAACCAGAAGCATTCAAGACACATCTGTCACGTCATCGTAAGACACATCATTTGGCACGTTTACCGATTGAGCAGGTTTTGGAGAAGGTTAACAATTCTCCAGAAATCAAGAAGTTCATCCTACATAAATTGGATGACAATGTCAAGCATGAAGGACTTCAAGGGTTTGAAAAATTGCACAATGTGAAGTTTATGATTGAGCCTCTGAAGATCTCTGATGATACCATCACCCCAACTTTGAAGATTAAGAGAAACATTGCTGCAAAGTTCTTCAAGGATTCATTTGAACAACTGTACAAAGAAGGTTCGTTGTTGAAGAACAATAAATTGTGAGAATAACATTTGATTTGCACTCTTATCTTTTTCATTTATTTCTCCACTCATGAACATACGATTTGTTTCTTTTGTTGAATGTTGTAGATGGAGACTGTGACTTCTATTGATGAAGCACTGGCCTGGATAATTCCCTGTGATATTACATGTACATGTTCAAGTCGCTCCCGGGGGCCAATTGTGGGTAGTGGAATGTACTAGCTTGTCTAAGATACAAAAGTGTTGTAGATTTTTACTTCAGATTGTCAAGTTACAGTTGAAATACACGTATAGATCTATTTCATCTATTAATAACCAATTTATACCTCTTTTGTGCTATATTTGAAGAATATCGGATTCCTTGTTGTCTTAGTAAATTATGTGAATAAATTTTCCGTAGCATATTTTAAAATCTTTTGAGAAAATCTCAAAAGAATCCGATAAAAGTCCAGTTAATTTTAGATATGCTACTAGCAAAGTACGAATACAACTCTGCTATCAAGCTTTTATCTAATTAGTGCCTTAGATTCGCTTATATTATTTCAATATATCAATTATATACGAAAGACTATGATGCTTATTAATTGTGTCACTTTTCATCCGAACACCACGTATATATGTACCATGCGAGTGATGCATTATTGTTATCTCATCTCCCTCATTTTGCTACAGATTTGAAGCGTTAGCCGAGTGTATAAACATCAAGAATCAATTACAATATATATCCAATATTGAGATCACTTATTCTTACCGAGTAACTTGAAAACTTTACGCTGTTTGGCAAAATGAATAGGACTCTGAGAGAAAACAGTATCCAATTCCTCCAAAGTCAAAGACTTTGTCTCAGGGACAAAGAGATACGTGAAGAAGAAGGCAAAAATGTTACAGGCACCATAGAAGTAGAGGGCACCACTTGTTGTCATAGTCTTAGTCATCGTTGGCCATGTCATACTCAACACAAAGTCCAAGATCCAGTTGATGGACATTCCCAGTGCAACACCAAAGGCTCTCACGTTTAATGGATAAACCTCAGCATTGTAAGTCCAACTGACAGGACCAATTCCAAGACCGAAAAAGATAACGAAGAGATACATAGAAGTTAGACCAGAGCCCAGTCTCTTTGTCTTGTCTGTGATTGTCAAGGAAAGACCCAGCCAAAACATGCAGAACGCCAAAGCCGGGAAGGTGATGATGAGCATTCTTCTTCTGCCAAATCTATCAATACACTGAGACGAGAAGAACGTTGCAAGGAAACATCCACCACCGATACCAATACTTCCAGCAATGGCAGTAACACTGTCAATACCCGAATTAACAAGGATGGTAGTGGTATAACCGACAAGAACGTTGACACCACAGTACTGCTGCATTATCATGTTGAATGCCGAAACTAAGAAAGCAAATCTGACACGGCGTTCAGTGAAGAATAACTTGATCTGCTGGAAGATTGGAATCTTGTGGATCTTACCGGACTGTTTCAACGATAAGTACAAGACGTAGAAATCTCTTGCACCTTTTAGCTTACCGTTTCTCAATTTCTCCAAGACCGTCAATGCCTGAACCTCTCTGTTGGTAACGACCAAATAACGAGGAGATTCTGGGACGAAGAGGATCAAGATTGCAACCAAAACCGGTGATACAAAAGAAGCACCAATCATCAATCTCCAGGATGTCTCACCTGGGATATTCACAAATGCTCTGTTGAAAATACTTCCCAACATCACACCAAAGGCAACAAATGTTTGCCAAAGCATTAGGAATACACCTCTTGATCTTGCTGGACTGGACTCAGCGATCAACATTGGCACAGCAGTAGAGTTCAGACCCATTCCAATACCCAGGAACAATCTTGCAGCCAACATTGAGCCCATAGATTGGGCAAACGCTTGCCATAGAGAACCACCGATACCAAAAGCACAAGAAACGAAGATGATCCACTTACGACCGACCCAGCGATCAAGAATAACGGCAGAAGGGGCTCCAATAGTACCTGCAGATAGATATGGAGAAGCATTCAATAGACCTTGAATGTTTGAATTGGTAACTCCAAACAACTTGAAGAAAGACAGCTGAGCACCACCAACGGCACTCTCATCATGACCGAAATTAACAGCAGCCAACGACGCTGTGAGGGCAATCAGGTACATGGTCCAGGATTGTGATCTGATAGAGTGTGTGTTTTCGAATTGCAGAGACTGAATCTCCTCCTCGGAATACAAGTTTTTTCTCTCCTCGAGGACTTCACCACCATCATTGGCCAGGAACGCACCACGAAGTAGGATGTCTCTCTCTGGAGCCAACTCTGGATGCTCTTCGATTATGGCATCGACATTAGCAGTGACCTTCTCATCACTCAGACCTTCGGTGAAGACCTCAATGTCTGATGATGGAGACTCGTCAGATAAGGTGTCGATGTGGAGGCTTTCCTTCTCAAGTGGCATGCTTTCCTCAGTGGTTATCGATAGACAAAGCTCTTTGGCCTTCTCTTCAAGTGTGTGGGCATCAGCGCATTTATATACACCAGTTCCACGAGCATCGTGTAGAGTTTAGACAATTGCCACAGTTCGAGTAGGCTTTTAGATCATTCAGAGCCTCTTTGTTCGCTAGCCTCATCGTTCGAGACATATATCGATCCAGCATGCAGTGCACTGCCGTGAACAATGCACGATAAACGTACAACTTCTGAGCTCGGCTCTGTTCAGCGAGTGCCGAAAAGCCACAGCTGGAAGCAACATTGGACCACTTCAGACAGGGCTAAGCACCAGCTTTGCTGTACGTACACATTGTAATTGACGGGTGAACAAGCTATACATGTGAATAGAATACAAGCACCTACATGATTGAAGCCCTTAAGGTCCACCACAACAGGCACGGATACCTCCAAATTTCCTGAATAAGATCAATAGGCGATCCAATCAGAGCTCATGGTGGGTGCTTCCATATCCCAAATGGCAACCCTACTATCGTGATGAGGATACAATATGGCATGTGTAACCATCGTTTGTTACACATCGTTGGACGTGTAGTCTCTCCATACTAGCGATGAGGGAAAGTGTCCTCGGTGTGGAACAAAGGCTTGCGAAGCGAGCTTTCGATGACTGTCGGACGTATCTTAACACCGACAGCCCAAAGAGGAAAGCGAGTATGGCATAAAGTATGGCAGCAGACAGCATCGTCATTGGTCTTCTGGGTTGGTGATGGCTAAGTTACCCAATTGGGATATGGTTACGAGCACGCGAAATGTCTTTATTTACCCGAACTGTTCCCCCGGGTAAATGAAAAAAGCATATAGCGGGAAGGTGAAAAATCATCAACAAACAACCGATGAGCACACGGGGGCAATGGCTATCTGCGCATGAGCTCGAGAGATACGATGTTCCCGTCGAAGAAGGGGCTTGGAGTCCAGCTGAGCCATGGAATCAATGGCCCCAGTAACTTCTTATCGCAGTACAACCCGGAGAATCCATGGGTCTTTGCTAGGGAACGGGACAGTGGTTATGGGCTGAAGACGGTTCCCAATTCCTCTGTGAGGCTCTCCAAAGCCCAGCTGGTTGGTACGTGCAAGGCCAGGGATGGTGGTAAGGATGCACTCTACAAGGCGGTGATGCTAGAGGTTCCGTCGGACCTGTTGCACTCTTTGGAGAACGACCCTCAAGACTTTTCGAAATGCGATGCAGTGTATGATCCCTCTATTGGGAGGATGTTGGACTTTGGGTACATCAAGGCCGCATTTAAGCAGAAGAGAGTACCCATAGTTGCGTATACTGGTGGTGCAAGTGGTGACTATTTGGTGGTGCAGAGCGTTACGGATTTGAAACAGGATGTAATGGTGAATGGAGAGGCCATCTCAATGGAACTGCCAACATTGAAAGGAGGTGCGATGCTACAGTTTGAATGCTCCATTAAACAGGTTGAGACCTTCAAGTCTGATCCCGTATTCAAGATCCCACAGAAAAGCATTATGGTGAGAACCTCGTTGGGATGCTCCATAGTCGATGTGAAGATCACAAAGGATGGAGGTATAAGTCTGATTAGAGCTTTTGACATAACAGCAGAGTGCCTTGGCGAGGAGATTGCACATGTCGTGAACAATCCATTTGATTCAGGTACAGTGGGTATTATTGGTGTTAAGGGCAAATGGGCGATCTACAGAAGGACCAAGGCTAGGATGGTGCCATTCAAAGAAGGGTGTGCCTTTGTACCTGACGAGCTATCCAGTTTCAAGAGAATATCATGGGGCTTTAACGAGGATACGTTGCTATTGATTGGAAGAAGCTATGTGAAATTGGTAAATCTGAGGAGAGATGAGTGTCAGGATATTATAACTTGTAATGGGTGGTCAGAGATGAGGGAATATTCCAGATGGAGGACCAGCAACAGGTATGGCATGCTATTGACTTCAAGGGAGTTGATTTGGGTTGATGTTGAAGGAGACTCGTTCAAGAGGGTTCTTTCATGGAAGCACTGTCTCAACCCAGATGATCCCTCTCTGAGAATGTCGTTACAAAGCTACGATGACGTTCAATACGTCTTTGTTCACAGTGAAATGACGCCGCTGGTTGTTGTATTCCAGTTCAAATTGGATAATGGCTTTCCCAAGTCGATCAAGGACCCCTTCATCTATAAAGTTGAGAGCCATGAAATGATACACGACTTCGTACTCCAACCTTTGTTCGAAGATGAAGGCGATGAAGACGAGTCTGCTGACGATGGTGATAGTGAACCTGCTGACAATGGTGATAGTGGACCAGATAACGAAGGTCATTCAAACAGCACAACTGCAAAACCACAAGGATTGTGGTTTGCTCTCTATAAATTCTCAAAAGACCTGGAGCTGACTAGGGTGATATTGTCAAGTGAAAACACAACCGTTTTGAATGGAATCACACCCCCTCCAATGTTGAAGCAGGCCAAGGAGACGATAACCAAAGCTCGTAGTCATGAAATGGGTGGATGGGAAAGGAAGGCCACGATAAAACGTTCGAGGGACTCGCTGCCTGCGTTATTCAGTGATGTTGAACCCGTATCAGAAAACGATGAGGACGACGAACAAGTTTTCCTCAAGTTTGCAAACAGCTTTGACATCGATAAACTTAGACATAGCCAACCGTCATCACTGAGAGATGGCTCTGAGCTTTGTGGGTTCTCGGATTTGGAGGAGTTCGATAACATGATGGAGCAGTTGGTCGAGCAGTGTAAACTCAAGGGCATTCAGCATGTTCCCTTGCCACAGCTGTTCCAGTGTCTGGTTGAAGATTCAAACGAGACAAATTTCAAGGACATCCAGAGCAGAATGACTGCAATCTGGCCTCAAGAGACAATCTGCCATGAAGTCACCAGAGACTTGGCCCTGACGTTATCGATATTCCACAGTGAAGAGCACGAGGACGAGTTAGCGAATGCCACCTACAGCACGTTGGATAAAGAGACCAGGGAGCTCGTTGCCGGGTGGGACTCACCGGACGAGGAACACGAGGCTGAGCCAGTGGAAGAGGATGAGTTCGTAGACCACATACCAGCTCTATCTTCACAGCCAGCCATTGTCTCGAGCCAGACACAGGCTCATTCGCAGTTCGCACGCAGTTCACTGAAGAGGCCAGGTGCCTTCAGCCAGAAGTCGCAGTCATCGCAGTCCACACAGAGAAAACAGAAGAAGCGTAAGAAGGGATTTGCCTAATATGGAAGCATATTCACGAGCCACACGAGCAGCTGGATAGCTGGATAGTTTGAGTAGCGAGATAGTGTGTATAAGTATGTGGTCACGTGAGGAGACAGCCGTTAGACACCCGTACACCTAGACACCCGTACACCCGTACACCCGTACACCCGAACACCTAGACACCCGCACACCCCGAAAAACCCAGACATCCGATGAGTCAACCGCCGCGAAAAAATCTCAGCGCCGCCCCCAACAGGCCCTCGAAATCCGTATCAAAAAGTTTCAAAACAGGAACAATTACTCACCAAAGAGCCCATCTCTACAGCAATTGCTACACAAATATGAGCGCACAGATAAGAGAAACCTTTGCAAAGTGCAAAGAAGAGAGTGAGTACCTCGCTGTTGAACGCTTATAGGCTGCTTCGGTGAAGGGAGAAGCCCTCTCCACAGAACGAGTCGCTGATAGCGATGGACTATGGTACTAACCACGCACTGTAACAGACCGTAAAGCCCTTGTGACCTTCATCACCGCGGGTTATCCTACCATCGAGGACACGGTTCCCATCCTCCAAGGCTTCCAGGAGGGAGGTGTCGACATCATCGAGCTGGGTGTTCCCTTCTCTGACCCGATTGCCGACGGCCCTACAATCCAGGTTGCAAACACCACAGCATTGAACAACGGCATCACCGTCCAGCACACCATCGAGCTCGTGAAGAAGGCCAGAGACGCCGGCGTGACTGTTCCAATCATTCTAATGGGCTACTACAACCCTATTCTCCACTATGGGGAGGAGAAGTTGATCAAGGATGCCCAGCAGGCTGGTGCCAACGGCTTCATCGTTGTGGATCTTCCTCCAGAGGATGCCGTCAAGTTCAGAAGCACCTGTACAGAACAGGGCCTCAGCTATATCCCGCTTGTTGCTCCATCGACGACTGATGAGAGATTGGCCCTCTTGTCTGAGATTGCTGACTCGTTCATCTACGTTGTCTCCAAGATGGGCACCACTGGTGCCTCTTCCAGCGTCAGCACTGGAATCTCTGAGCTCGTTAGCAGGGTCAGAAAATACTCCGGTGACACACCATTGGCTGTTGGTTTTGGTGTCAGCACTAGAGAGCACTTCCTCAGCGTGGGATCCGTTGCTGACGGTGTCGTTATCGGCTCGAAAGTTGTGACTCTCATTGGCGAGAGCCAGTTTGGTGAGCGTGGTGACGTTGCTAAGAAGTACGTCAAGGAGATCTTGGACAACAGAGAGGTGAAGCCATTCGAGCCAACTGCCACGGACTCCTTCGTCAAGAAGGACGAGCCTTCGTTCAAAGAGGAGCACAAGTTTTCACCAAGATTCGGCGAGTTTGGTGGTCAGTACGTGCCAGAGGCTCTCCATGCCTGTTTGAGAGAGCTAGAGAAGGCATTCGAAGAGGCAGTTGCTGACCCAACATTCTGGGACGAGTTCAGATCGTTATACCAGTACATTGGTCGTCCATCCTCGTTCCACAAGGCTGAACGTCTTACAGAGCACGCTGGTGGTGCACAGATCTGGTTGAAGCGTGAGGATCTCAACCACACTGGTTCGCACAAGATCAACAATGCTTTGGCACAGGTCCTCCTGGCTAAGAGATTGGGCAAGAAGGAGATCATCGCCGAGACAGGTGCTGGTCAGCACGGTGTTGCCACTGCAACTGCCTGTGCCAAGTTTGGTCTTAAGTGTACTGTCTACATGGGAGCTGAGGATGTTCGTCGTCAAGCCCTTAACGTCTTCAGAATGAAGATCCTGGGTGCTGATGTTGTTGCTGTCACCAACGGTACAAAGACATTGAGAGATGCAACCTCTGAAGCCTTCAGAAACTGGGTGACGAACTTACAAACCACCCACTACGTTGTGGGATCTGCTATTGGTCCTCATCCTTACCCAACTCTTGTACGTACTTTCCAGTCTGTCATTGGTAAAGAGGCCAAGGAGCAGTTCAAGGCTTTGAATGAGGGCAGACTGCCAGATGCCATTGTTGCGTGTGTCGGTGGTGGTTCTAACTCCACTGGTATCTTCTCTCCATTCGAGCACGATACGTCTGTTAAGCTCCTTGGTGTTGAAGCTGGTGGTGATGGTCTTGATTCTGGCTACCACTCTGCTACTCTGACTGCTGGTGAACCAGGTGTGTTCCACGGTGTTAAAACATATGTTCTTCAAGACCAAGATGGTCAGATCCATGATACTCATTCCGTGTCTGCTGGTTTGGATTACCCAGGTGTCGGTCCAGAATTGGCTGCCTGGAAGGCCTCTGGCCGTGCTCAATTCATTGCTGCAACGGATGCCAATGCTCTTGAAGGCTTCAGACTGTTGTCACAGTTGGAAGGTATCATTCCAGCCTTGGAGTCTTCCCATGCAGTCTATGGTGGTGTTGAATTGGCAAAGACCATGAAACCAGACGAGCACATCATCATCAACATCTCTGGTAGAGGTGACAAGGATGTGCAAAGTGTTGCCGAGGTATTGCCAAAGCTTGGTCCGCAAATCGGCTGGGATTTGAGATTCGAGTCATTCGAATGAAGTTGTATATATCTACATATAGATCTACATTGATTGTTAGCGAGCGTCTTGCCCTAGAAATCATTAAGAACATTGTAATTCAACGCTAGAAGAAATGCGTGTAACATCTTGAATCCTCATGGACTTCCATTTCACTCTTCAATTCATTCAGCTCTACTCTGATTCTTTGCGCCAATTGTGGAGTGAGTTGGTTGCAAGTTGCAATGTCAGGTTTTCTATCATATTCGTCCTCTGCGTATACATCGTACAGTGTAATTTTGCTAGAAAATTCAACAGTTTTTGAGCCTTTGTTCACAGATGGTGCATTTGAGGACCCGAATGACTGTGTTGATCCAGAGTCTTGATATCTGTTCAGTGTTGGGGCCTTTAAGCCACGGAATGACATTGAAATCGGACGACTCATGGACGGAACAAAGGCAGAGTCTGGGATGAAAGGTGATGTATTTGGGGATTGTACAGCTTTGTTGCTGAATCTGGCAGATTGGAGAGACGCTGGCGATTGGAATGAGTGTGCATCAGTACCAACGGCAGATAAAGAGCTGGAGTTGAGAGGAGGTTGTGACAGTGGAGTGGAATCGTCATCAAGATCAAAGTTCAGTTCCAAATCACCACCAAAGTCGATGAATTCTGAAAATTCCAGGAGGTCTGAGACGTCATTATCATCGTAAGAGCTTTCATTACCATCATTGACTTTGTTATCGGCAATGTATTGATCAGCAATGTCATCAAATTCCAAGGCATTTGAGAAATCCTCAAAGTGAAAGGAATCATCATCACCGTCGTCGTTATATCCTTCTTGAGCATCCAGGATCTTCGGACTCTGCTGAGTACTTGTTGATAAAGAATATGTTGAAGGTGGTCTTAGAATACCCTGTTCAATGTGCATGCCAGCTTCCCTTGCGTTTGATTCAATGGCTTCCACAAGTGACAATGGTCTGCTCGAGCTTTGAGAATGACGACGAGAGATGATTGAGTGACGACTCTGCGATCTGTTACGTTCCAATGACACTATTGATTCCACATCATGGGCAGACAATTTTCTTGGGAATAGAGTCTCGCCTTGTGATATTTGAGAGGATCGTTTTGTCTCATAATCTTTCTCCAGTTCAGCATTTGATAATGGCTCTAGAGTGGATTTATCCATCGCTTCAACTTTCAGCTTGTTGAAGTCTTCGTTAAACCCCTCATCAGATGAGAACGATGCATTATCGTCAGAAGGCTCCTTTGTGAATGCATCTTCATCCACACCATTCGTCTGCTCTTGTTGTTTATAAGCAAATTGAGGCTCTTCCACAATTTCAAACGTTGGCTTCTTGGATCTTCTGAAAGCAGAGAATACAGATGTTGAGGATGTTGACCGTTGTGCTGCTCGTGGTTGCTGTGCCTGAGCCTGTGGGCTTTGAATCTGGAAGGACTGCGACGACGCCATCTTTTTAACCTGAGGTTGGTGCTGTTGGTGCTGTTGCTGCTTATTAACGTGTGGAACATCGGTGCCTGAGACAGATCTCTTCTTGAAGAACGAGAGCAATGAACGCTTCTTCTCGTGTGATTTATTGTGTGCCTGTGAATCTACCAGTACAGGCATGGAGCTTGCTCTCTTCGAGTAATGCTGTCCAAGCCCTGGTGTCTGTTTGGGAGTGGACTTAGGCTGATGATCCTGTACAACTTGTTGTGACGTGCTTCTCACCTTGTAGTTGTTGATGATGTGTTGGTGTTGGGAAGCCTGGAGCGACGTTGGATCGCTCGACACTATCATCGCAGGACGTTGTAAGGAAGGAAGCTCTTTATCCATAGCTGGCTTCTCTGGACTCGTCGACAAAACTTTGAGGTTTGGAGAATCGTCTTCAACGTCATCATGTGCCTCCTCCTGTCCTTCATCAACTCTTGGCAGAGGCTCTGTAAGCGGTTGAGGAGGGAAGGCCTTCTGCTGTTTAACCTCTGGAGTCTTGAAGATGTCGTCATCGTCGTATACTGGTTCTTGTTGTTTGATAGTTGGAGTAGTCGTATCATTCGCATCCTCATCCTCATCTAATTCAATCAGATTTGGCGACAGCACTGTCTTTGGCTTGACGGCCCTCACCTGCTTCTTCTCCAGGATGCTGGCCAACGCACTGAAGCTTGGTGAGTTCGTCATTGCGATCCCAGTCTTCTCGCCTCGGCCGTAGTCATGGTCGTGTATAGCAACAGACGCCATCGAGTCCGACATCACCAGTGATTTGCGGATGGTCTTTGCATGGTCCTTGAGCGATTGCGAGTTGTAGAAGCCATTCTGGAGTAAGTCTGGAGAAACGTCCTGGTAGTTGTGCCGTGGCTCGTTAGCAACGGTGGCAGAGCCCTTGGACAGCGTCTCATTCGACATGCCCTTGACCGTGCCCTGAGGATAGGGCTCTGGAGACGAATGCGACGTTGTTGGCGTAGAGGAAAACGCTGCGCTTTCAGTGTTGTTATCGCTGGTATAGCTCATCGTATCAAGGGAGGCCTGCGAGAGGGTTTGCTTCATTGTTCACCGTGTGGGAAGGGCCTGTGATCACTTGTCAGTATGGAAAATACACAGACAGTGCCTTCTCACCTGTCTGGCAGTGTTTTCAATGTGTCTTGAGGTGGCAGAGGAAGAACGGGGACTAACGGTAATAATCTCCAAGCAAAAAGGTTGAAACAACGTCCAGTCCTCTCAGAAATGTACGTGAACTGTGGGCCTGAGATGAAAAATGTCAAACACGGCAAGGTGAAACAGCTCAATTGAAACAAAAAATACAAGTTGATGTATAAAATCCTTTCCAATCAACAACAACTAAAAAAATCCTTGTAAGGGAGAAATTCCAACAGCATAGAAAATACGAAGGGCTCTTTCCATGCGCGTAATTTGAGAGAACAAAAAAGAAAAAATTACATAGTGAGGAAGAGATTTTCGTACGCGTAAATTGGGAAAACTTTTACGCGTCGGGCGTTGTCTCAGAGGCTCTTACCCCTTTCAGTTAAGAATTTCCCAAACGGGTAAGAGGAAAGGGGGGATTTGGATAGAGGAGAAGGATCGTGTGTTGTAGTTGTGGCGTGGATTGGTGAGGCACATGGATATTTGTAGGGGGATTTAGTGGCTCTGATGGGGCTTGGAGGGGAGGCACGAAGATGGGGGTTGTGGATTACGTAAGAAATTACGTAAGATAGGCACGTGATGTGGTGTGCGGGTTTAATGTGACACAAACGTGTGTGTTTGAGGTTATTACTGTCTTGATGGTTACTACGCGAGGTTGAGACAGAGGCAGGGGGAAAGACTGGGACTCACTGTTGATCCACCGGTGTGCTATTGTGTCGGCTCGCTGAAGCACTCATTGCGATACTCTTCTGAATTGTGCTTCCAGGTCATGGGCTACGCCTTGGGCTCTGATGTTCTTTGTACGTTGTGTCATTAGCGTCATATCTTCTTCTGCAAGGACGAGTAAGCCGATTTTGACCGTATTAGAGTGTGTTATTGTCCCTACTGGTGTGCGAGCTCAATGTTGTCACAATTGTATATAGCCTTTGCCCAAAGTAGGATCGTAGCTTCATACTTCTGCTTCGAGAAGAGGCAAGTATTATATAGCATTAACCCTTCCAGAGAGCGATCACTCTCATCAGTTAAAACATCCTGGTCTACCACTTCCTTTTATCCTAACCTTGAATAAGTCAGGACAGCCTTTACAACCCTAATTGCCTCTTTGACAAGCACAAGGCTAGTGATTTTATCTAGCCAGTCCAAAAAATTTCCCGGGGAAATCTTTTTCAAGTTCAGACCCATGCACCAAGTATATAACGTTGTCGGTATTCGTTGATAAACTCGTTGAATGAAGACTTTTTCTCATTATTAAATTGTAGCAAACTATTGGAATGAACAATACTGGAATGTATTATCAAAATATCTCCAAAGTTTCTAATACTCCACGTTAAGAAATCACCAATCTCGTTGACATGTTAACAAAATGGAAGCGCAGTTTATTTCAATCAAGAGCAAAGGCAATCTAGCTATTACTTCTCAAAAGAGATCTTGTAAGCTCTATACATGTGTCCAAGCGAGCAAAAGCAGCTTGCAAATTCGTTTGGACCTGAGTAATACGAATACATCCAAATACTTCGTACTTGATTCTAATTTCGATTTCCATATTTCACTCTTTAAAATGGAGACATTGGTCTGACTCATATCGTTTAGTGTCTTTGAACAGTCAACCATGGCTGTTGTAGAGGTAACTATTAATGTGAAACTTGATGTTTAAAAGATCAGACTTTAGTAACTTATAAATGTAGCCAGTATAGACACCTTTGACGGACTCCAAAACAGATTGAAGAAGTAACAAGGTATATCAACAAGAATGAAGCAACCATGTCATTGGAGAAGTAAAAATATTCATGGCATGATAATAACTTCAGAATCACTATTCCCAAACCTTTCATTAGATTTGTCCACAGAAGATTCTTCTAGAAACAGTAACGATCCAGGTATCGACCTAGATTGTTCAAAAGTTTGTATATTCAAAAAGAGTTTATCAGGGATCTGATAACCAGGCCACTTGTACTTCTCAATCTTCTGAGTCAGACTGAACAACCTATCATGTAACAGCATCCAATCATCCCATTGATCCGGTGTCTCAGTAATTCTCGATTGCAACGAGTCAACGAGCTGAAGCATTTTGAGGCAAATACCAGGTCCATTCATGGTGAAGGCAGATTCGGGTAATGAGCAAGTGTCACGAAGAAAATTCGTAGCTATGTCTTGTGGAAATGTACTTCTGAGACAGGCCTCGTTGGCTTCTTCTTCAATGTACTTCTCATTCAAAGAGGCACTCCATCCAAGGCTTTGTAACCACGCCTTAGTAAGAAGGATGTTAACCAACTGTGACTGGTCCTTAACTTGGTCCAACATCCGGAGTGACTCCAATAAATTTGATTGAAACTTGACCATTGAAGACTTGGTAAGGTAACACCTGGTGTGCTTGTTGTATATGTTCTGTATTAAACTCATCTCTTTGTCAAGTTCAGGATGCAGTACCGTGACGGTTCCATAAACAACTGAAAGGAAAAAGATGTCTGCAGCACTGAACAGTTGTGCCAACTGCACGAACCCAATTAACACATCAGGGTGCTTGTCGTCTTCAACTGTGGGAAAGTTGATAGATGCCTGTAATAGTGCATCGAATTTGATTTGATAACATTGCAGTCTGAAGCATTGAAACCTTTCTGTAATCAGTATCATGTAGTAAATCTTCCTCCATAAATGTGCCTGGTTTCTTGGTAGGAATGAATACGTTGTTTCACAATGCAAGCCGAACAGTTGTATTATCGAGATCGCATCTCGTAGACATATTATTCCTTTCTTCAGCGATTGTTTTGAAGAAGAGTAGTAAACATGTAAGAAGAATTGCATAAGTGCAGTTTCCATTGTTGGATTCATATCCAGCCCAAATTCGTGAACTACTTGTCTTGCTTCATCGACGTATTTAGCAGAAGACGAACAACTGGTAAGAGGCTTGGGTGAGTATGACGCAGTGCGTTGGAAATGGACACAAACGACAGCAGATATTGAACAACAGAGGGCGTAAGTCAGTGCACTTTCCTCGTTTAAAGCTATCAATTGAAGATTTGAAGTAGGGTCAGTTTTGCAGAATGAAAAGATACGTGAAATGAGCTCATCGCTTGAAACAACAGGGAAGAAGACGTACATGTGGGTATTGAAGGCCCTTATACAGTGGGCGAGTTCCTCAAAGGGGATCTTCCCATAGATCTCGTCTGATCTGCCAGGGTTCTTTGGCTTCGGACCAGACTTCAGCTTCCCTCGTTCATCCCCACAGAGTCTATCAAACTTTATGCAGTTTGTGCAGATGCCGATGGTGGATGTTGATCGATCACATTTTTTTTTCCTCTTCGAGCATTCATCACAAGGTCTCGTATAGCATGGTCTCTTCCTTGAAGGAATCATCTTCGCATGTTTCAACAATCTCGAGATTCAAAACAGATTGAAGCATTTTTACCTTATTTTGAAATCGCAAGATCCACTCAGACCCACGTGCCTCAGTATGCAGTGAAACCAAGAAAAGGTTCAGTTTTAACCCACATGTTTTAGCTACAGCGAAGAGAATTAATATGCCTCTTGTGTCAATTATACCAAAGCAAGTAAATTAACCAAATACATGCTTGATGTTGAAGTCAAACATGTCTTGGAAAGTGCAAAACTCCATCTGATTGAAGCTGACGATACTGCCTTCCACTAACTTGTTCAATTGAGGAAGACCTTTCAAGAACTCAGATCTATCTGATTCGTCAAATTGCTCTACAAAATAGGCTAAGGTAATATGATAGTAATACCCATGTTCTTCTTTGAGCCCAAGCACATCGCTTATTTGGCTCCTCAGTATCTCAAGTGAGGTTTTTTGGTGGTACAACGGCTCCATGCGAAGAGATAAGGTGTTACCACTGAATACGAACCCAACAGCCTTGAACGACAGCGGGAATTCAAAGTCCAGCAGTCCGGGCACATTCTGTAGCTGTTGATAAACCTTTTCAAAGATCGTATCGTCTCCACCATCGATGTCCTCAGTTATAACCTTCTGGGGAATCACTCTTCTATTGGAAGTTCCAATGATTGTGATGTGGTAACTCGACGTTGGAAGAAGACATAGCTTATCGGTATATTTACAGCCAATCAGGTGTCGATAAACATCCAAAAGCTTCTGGAACATCCCGTCTTCTCTTGGAATATGGCACACTAACGTGGTTCCCTTAAACAGCTTTGGTTGTCCATTGGAATGGAATTTCTCACCATCAACACTTAGTCCTGGACTTTGGGTCATCTTGCGCCCTAACAATCAAACAAAAAAACTATTGGTGATGTGTGAAATGACAACACAATGAAGTCGACTCATCTGCTTCACCTCAAGCAGTTATATAAGGCCAAGGCAACAACGTGGTGTCACTTCAATTGCAAAAGACGGAATAACTGCGCAAAGATGGAATAACTGCGCAAAGACGGAACAACTGCGCAAAGACGGAATAATTGATGCAAAGACGCTATGTACACCTAAAATCTTTCAATTTTTATTTTGTACATGCCAATTGAGCACATGGCCTTCCTTTGCTATTAGATACACTCGTTCATAGTTCAAGACTATGGACAGAGTGGCCCACATGGCATGCTGATAGTCATTGTATACGTTAAGAACGCTGGGTAAACTATAAAAGAAGACTTAGATGCCTCTGTGAGGTAGTTGAAGAGCTCATCATCACCATCACCATCCAGCAATCATGTCAGAGAAGAACAATGGACCTGTCGCCATTAACAACGTTACCGATGACTCTGTGAATGATCCAATACAACAGATTCTCGAGTACGAAAGATCTCTAACCTTGTGGCAGGCATTGTGCAAGTACAAGAAGGCAGTTTTCTGGGCTGTCGTGATCTCCAATACTGTGATCATGGAAGGTTATGACACTTCGTTAATCAGCTCACTCTTTGCCTTTCCAGCCTTCAAAGAGAACTTGGGTAATCTTAACACGAACGGGACCTATGAGATCCCTGCGCCATGGCAGTCTGGAGTGGCCAATGCCGCATCTTGTGGTCAATTCTTTGGCCTGATCATTGCTGCGTGGTGTGTTGATAGGTTTGGTTATAGGAAGACCTTGATAGCAAATCTGCTTTTCTTCACGGGCGCAATATTCATCGTTTTCTTTGCCAACTCATTGGGAATGCTCACTGCAGGTCAAGTGGTGTGTGGACTACCATGGGGTGCTTTTCAGTCGTTGGCAATTACCTATGTTTCAGATGTCACTCCCGTGGTTTTGAAGCCTTACATGGCCACCTATGTGAATCTCTGCTGGGTGATTGGACATTTGATCAGTGCAGGTGTTTTGCGTGGGCTGCTGAATATTAACCATGATCCACGCTCATACAGAATCGCCTTTGGACTTCAATGGATTTGGCCTTTGCCATTGTGTATTGGTATTTTCTTTGCACCAGAATCGCCGGTGTGGTTGTTGAAAAGAGGGAAAGAAAAAGAGGCAATGAACTCAGCACAAAGGCTGACATCTACACAGGAAGATGCTGAGAGTTTCTATCGTGCTGCTTACTATACGAACCTCTTAGAAGTTACCTACGCTGAGAATTCAAGTTACTCTGACTTGTTCAAGGGTGCCAATAGAAGAAGAACGCTACTGGTGCTTTATGCATGGGTTGTACAAGCGTGGTGTGGTTCAGCGATCAATGGGTATTCAACGTACTTTATGACTTCGGCAGGTATGTCAACGGTGCACTCTTTTGACATTACAATGGTCAAAAACGTCATATCCTTTATTGGTACATTTTTCGTGTGGTTTACAATGAGATGGCTTCGTAGAAGATTCAACATTCTTATTGGACTCTTTCTCCACTGTGTGGTACTATTGGTGATTGGAATTCTGGGAACACAGTCACCTTTACAGAACTCCTCCGTTTCATGGGCTATAGCTGGAATGATTCTTTGTTTACAGCTGGTTTATTCCTCCACTATGGGTCCCATTGCCTACCTTGCATGTTCAGAATTCCCAACAGCCAGACTGAGAGCTAAAACGGCATCGCTTGGGAGAAATCTTTATCTATTGTGCTCTATATCTCGAGGTGTTATCACCCCATACATGTTGAATGCGACTGCTTGGAACTGGGGTGCAAAGACAGGGTTCTTCTGGATGGGATTCAGCTTTGTCTTTATGATCGTGTCCTTTGTCATCTATCCAGAGGCAAAGAACAGGTCTCCAATGGAAATGGATTACTTGTTTGAGCACAAGGTGCCTTCCAGAAAGTTCTACACAACTGAAATTGATGACAAAGTTGGAGAGGATTTGAAGATGTCCAAGGAGATGTGCAGTATTAAATCCAAATGTTGAGTCCATTACTGTGAGAGACTCCAACAATATATAACCATTATGGCGAGTGATCAGCTCATTTAACCTATACTTCATACATAAGCAATCACATTCCTTTATGACAGAATTAAGCAGCTGACTGCCAGCATTACATGCCGTAGAGTTTACCCAGAACACACACACATCACTGGTCTAAGTCTGTCACCAAACTGCTCACCTTCTGAGGGTGTAACCACGACATTGATTCAGGCCACTTTTAGTTCTTCAGCCCGTGAAGCCACCATCAATCTTGGCCCCAGCAAACATCCCACTTTTCCGTCACCAAGAACCTACAGCTCCTACTCAAGACTTCACTTGGTTGATGGATAACTCGCACTTGGCTGCTACTAACCATCTCAGACTACAGTGCTGATTGTAAAGCCACCTGGAAAAGTCTACGAAATACAACCGAGCACACTAACCGGACATCGTCCAATCATAAACATCTCCCCTCCGTGAATCGACTACAACCAGTTTCACCCCTTCTACAGTCCAATTGAGAGTATAATTAAACACTATAGCATGTATACATACTAGACCCATCGGTAGGCACCACACATGCCCAACCTGCTTACATAAGCATCTTACATAATCGGAAACGAGCTCCACTTGGAACAGGTGAACGGCAATTTTCCCATACAAATTTTTTGCGCCTCACATGCATCAATCGGGAAGTTCTGAAAATCCCGGGCTCACCATAGTTAAGCACCAAAAAGGTGAATGTTTCGCAGTTTTGGAGGGGGATTTTGTAGTCAAGTCGGTGAAAATTGGCCAGATGCAGCTGATGGTTACCTCAACGTCAACGTTAATTTCCATTAAAGGCAAGTCACCAGTGTCAATACATAGGAAACACTTTGAAGAACAGCATTAAGAAATGTAATTATGCCTAGAAAGTCATCCCTGAGTGACACCTACATCACATTGAAACGTTTGTCGAGTGATAAGCGCATTAGGCTTGTAAAC